GAGTCAACAAAAAAGAAAAATATGATCTAACTAATTAAAAGGAAGGTTGGCAACAATAATGTTTAGTGATTATGGTGAGGACTAAATCAAATTTGTTGGTTACATTTGAAAGAATATCAACTCACATTATTGGTGAGTTTCATATGTGATTCACACATCCATTTTAAAGATGATTGCCTTTAGGTCATAGTGTGCAAACATGACGATCGCTTCGCTTAGAACATGGTGGTTTGGTATTGCGTTTCTTTACAACCAAGCTAGCTAAGTATTACTGTATAGAACTTTGTGATACACCACCTCAAAAGCTAGCTTAAAGGGTAGGAGTGCTCAAGGTCTTACAAAGGCCACATTAGTTGCACATACAACCAATGTGGAACTATATATCTCAATACACCCCCTCACACAAGAGTCCATTGGGCTTGAAGAGTGGACAATGCAACAGGCCCAGCCTACCTGTGCTAAGAAATTCCACAAGAGAAAGTGGGAGACGGTGAGACTTTGATACCATGTAAAGAACCTTGGGATACACCACCCCAAAAGCTAGCTCAAAGGGTGGGAGTGCTCAAGGCCTTATAAAGGCCACATTAGTTGCACATACAACTAATGTGAGACTATATATCTCAACAATTACAGCCACTAGATTAAAAAATAGATTGTAATTTTGACCATCAAAGTATTTTCCTTCAAACTAGCAAAACAACAATACAAGTAATTTTGTAACCAAAAATAAAACTAACAAAGTGTATTGAAATTTGATTTAACACCATGGTAAGGGGAGAAAAAAAGAGAGTCTATTTGTTATCTATAAGTAGTAATAGGTAAAGAACTGTAACAGTGCAATCGGTTACTTTGTATTATTCAAGGCTGTGTTTAAATACACAGTGAGTTACAACAGAAAGATGAGCTAAACATGTACAATTGTGATATGATAAGATCACACTTAAATAGCAAACTGTTACAACATAAAAACTACCTAGATTCAAATAGCAAACTGTTACAACATAAAAACTACCTAGATTCAAATACAAGCAGATAATAACCTTATCCTAACACTCCCCCTCAAGTTGGAGTATGTAAGTGACTAATACCCAACTTGCCAAGTAGATAACAAAATTGCTTCTTCCCTAAGGCCTTTGTAAGAATATCAGTGGGCTGCTGGTCGGAACGGATGTAAGCAGTGGAGATTGTCTTTGTCTTAAGGTGATCACGTACGAAGTGGCAATCCAACTCAATGTGTTTGGTACGTTCGTGAAAAACCGGGTTAGATGCTATATGCAGAGCTGCTTTGTTGTCACAATAAAGAAGCATAGGTTGAGAATGATGAACACCAAGTGAAGCCAAAAAGGCACGTAACCATAACAATTCAGATGTCGTGGCAGCCATGGATCGATACTCTGCTTCGGCATATGAGCGGGACACAGTATGTTGTTTGCGAGTCTTCCAAGAGATAGGAGATGAGCCAAGGGTTACAAAGTAACCCGTAATAGAACGGCGAGTGATAGGGCAGCTTGCCCAGTCGGCATCACAATAGGCACTTAGTTGTAAATTACAATCAGATTTTAGTAAAAGACCTTGTCCCGGATTAGCTTTGAGGTATCGAAGAACTCGAATGATCGCCTCATAGTGTTGGACCTTAGGTTGCTGCATAAATTGGGACAAAATATGAACTGTGTAGGATAGTTCAGGTCGAGTGATTGTAAGATAAATCAAGCGGCCAACAAGGCGCCTGTAACGAGAAGGATCTTCGTAGTCAGGATCGGAAGACAAAGCAAGGCCATGATTTTGTTCAAGAGAAGAGTCTACAGGCTTACAACCAAGCATGCCACACTCATTTAAAATGTCAAGTGTAAATTTACGTTGGCTAAGAAATAGACCAGCAGATCCTCGAGCGAACTCGATGCCCAAAAAATACTTAAGTTTACCGAGATCTTTTATTCGGAAGCAAGTATTGAGATATGATTTGATGCGAGCACACATTGTGGAACTGTTACCAGCCAAAAGAATATCATCTACGTAAACCAAGATTGCGGTAAATGTGTTACCATGAGTGTAGGTAAATAGTGTATAATCTGCCTTGGATTGAGTGAAGCCAAAAGACTCAAGGGAAGTACGAAGCTTAGCAAACCAGTTTCGTGGGGATTGCCGAAGACCATATAAAGATTTTTGCAGCTTGCAAACTTGTCCAAAGTGTCCCTTATTGAATCCTTGTGGAATGCGCATGTACACTTCTTCATTGAGGTCACTGTGTAAGAAAGCATTTTGGACATCAAGTTGGTGAATCTCCCATGCTTTAGCAACAACAACAGCAAGAAAAGTCCTCACACTAACCATTTTTGCAACAGGGGCAAAGGTATCTAAGAAATCCTCTCCTGCAATTTGATTGTTACCAGCGATGACTAGCCTTGCTTTGTAGCGATCAATACTGCCGTCAGACTTATGCTTGATACGATACACCCATTTGCAGGGGATTGCTCGTTTTCCTGGTGGAAGTGTAGTAAGAACCCATGTATTGTTGAGTTCAAGAGCATCAATTTCTTCTTTCATGGCCTTTTGCCAATGAGGATGACACATTGTTTCCTTAAAGCCACGAGGCTCAACAGTAGCACAAACAACACCTAGAAATTTGGTATGCTGCGAGGAAAATTTGGAGTAAGATAAATAATTAGCTAAGGGATAGAGAGTACCTGAGGACGTGACCGAGGGAGTAGCCTGAGATGGAGTAATATGTGTAAAAATGGAGTTGCAATCAAAATCTTGTAAATATGCAGGTGGTTGACGTGTCCGTTGAGGTCTGCCAGTGGCAGGGAGTGGCATATTTTGAACTGATGTGCTCCCCCTATCAGTGGTGCTCCCCCTATCAGTGGATTCTCCAGAAGAAGATGTCTGTGGAGATGAAAGCGGAGTCACAGTGTGTTTCTCAACAACATTTTGGCCAGAAGAGACATCATGAAGAGTAGGGATGTATGTAGGCAAAGCTGGCACACTGGATACAGGTGGAGCTGAATTGGCATCAGCAAATGGAAAAACATCCTCGTGAAAAAGTACATCCCTCAAATAAAAGAGTTCATTGGTACTGACATCATAAAGGCGCCACCCTTTCTTATGAGTTGGATATCCAAGAAACACACATTTGCGTGAACGTGAGGCAAATTTATCTGTTGAACGAGGTTGTCTGTTGGCATAACAAAGACAACCAAATGTACGAACATGATCATAGGATGGTACAGTCTTGAACAATAGTTCGTGTGGGGTTTTACCAGCAAGCAACTTTGAAGGAGTCAAGTTGATTAGGTGTGTAGCAGCCAAGATACACTCTCCCCAAAAATCCAGTGGAAGATGAGCCTCAAATCGCAAAGCACGAGCAACATTTAATACGTGTCTATGTTTCCTTTCTGCACGCCCATTTTGTTGGGGTGTGTATGAGCACGTAGTTTGATGAAGGATACCCTCAGCAGCCAAGAAGGATGTGAGCGATGTGGCCTGAAATTCACCGCCATTGTCTGAACGAATAATTTTGATGGTCTTAAGAAATTGAGTTTTCACCATTTTAATAAAATGGATGAGTAATTTACTGGATTCGTGCTTATCAGACATTAAGTAAACCCAAACAAATCGGCTATGGTCATCAATAATAGTAAGAAAGTAATGTGCACCAGTAAGAGAAGACAGATGATAAGGGCCCCAAACGTCTATATGAATTAAATCAAAACAATGCGTAGAACGCTTATTATTAATCGGAAACAAACTACGGGTCTGTTTTGCTTTGCAACAAACATCACAAACAACCATTGACTTATTCTTGCCAACAGAAACAAAAGGAAGATAGAGTAGACATTGTGGGGAAGGATGTCCCAGACGACGGTGCCAAGTCTCCAAGGAAGAAGAGCAACGAACAGCATGAATATGTGGTGAAGAAGCTTTAAACACATACACTCCATCACAAAGCTCACCCAAGCCAATCGTAGTCCTCAAGTTCAGGTCCTGCACAACACATGAGTGATTAGTGAATGTCACATGCCAAGGATGAGAACGAAGCAATTGAGCGACAGATATGAGATTGCAATTCAATTCAGGAACAAAAAGAACATCAGTAAGAGTGAGAGAATTCTGAAAAATAATGGTTCCACGTTTGCTTGCCATAGTGTGAGAACCATTTGGTAACCCAACAACGGAAGGAGAAATTTCATGAACTGCTGTCATGAGATCAAGTCTATATGTCATGTGCTGAGAAGCGCCACTGTCAACAATCCAAACAGAGGAAAAATCCTTACCAGAGAGTTTCTCAGATGTTGCACGTTTAGGGGACTCAACAATGATGAGAACACGTTGCAAAGTCTCAGGAGATAAGGTAGCATTGGTTTGAGGTTCCTGAAGAGCATCTGATGCAATAACACCATTCATTGGAGAGGATGCATGGGCAGCATGTGCAGTAACAGGTGACCTGCGAAATGGTAGAGATCTACCTCGTCCACGTCCGCGTCCAGAGGGTCGGTTAGGACGACCATGCAATTGGTAACATTGAGAGACATCATGATGAGGTATGCCACAATGAGAGCAAACAACACGAGGAGGTTGTGCAACAGAGTTGGTACGGTGACTTGATCGAGTAGCATACCCAATGGCATCAACAGGGTCATCATAGGTCCTGGCTATGGATTTGTGAGTTTCCTCTTGTGTTATCATGGAATAAACACGATTCATAGAAGGCAAAGGGATAATATTTAGGATCTGGGTTCGCAAATGGCCATAAGTGGCAGTTTCCAAGCCCATTAAGAATTGGTAGACATGATCCTTCTCTGTTTCTTCAGTAAGAAATTTATGGACAGAGCAATTTGCACCATTGGAGCAAAGGTTGATGGAATGGGCAGCCTCAAGTTCGTCCCATATGGCACGTAACTTGGTATAATATGTAGCCACAGAGGAGCCTTTTTGTTTGATAAAAGAAAGACTTGCCTTTAATTGGTATATTCTGGGAATGTTCTCCACGGAATATCGTTCCTTCAATAAGCTTTGGCAGTGTCATAGTATTTGATGAAAGGTTGAAGTTGTGGATCAATAGTGTTATGGATCCACCCATTGATCATGGAGTTGCAAACTCCCCAAGCATGAAGCTCAGCAGGTTTGGATGCATTAGGGGCAGTAACAGATCCAGTAATAAAATCAAGTTTATTCTTAGCATGTAAAGCATTTTTCATAGCCTTGACCCAGGTATCATAGTTAGATTCTCCCCGGAGCACAACATTTGTGAGTAAAATGCCAGGACTATCAGATTGGGATACAAAAAAAGGTGACATGGAATCAGTTTTTTTGATGGGCGAGGTCTCGTTGTCAGCCATGAGAGCAATCGGAACAACGGTTTAAAAAAAATGGGTAGGTTCCAAGATCGAAACGCTACTGATACCATAAAGAACTGTAACAGTGCAATCGGTTACTTTGTATTATTCAAAGCTGTGTTTAAATACACAGTGAGTTACAACAGAAAGATGAGCTAAACATGTACAGTTGTGATATGATAAGATCACACTTAAATAGCAAACTGTTACAACATAAAAACTACCTAGATTCAAATACAAGCAGATAATAACCTTATCCTAACAATAGGATCTCATTTTCGAACTTGAAATGTGCAGAATCCATTTTCACTTCGGATGATAGTGGAAAATGAAACAAATTTTGATTTTGGGTCTTTGCGATTAAAGGATGCATCTCACATCCATCGCGATTATGTTCCCAAAGTTGGGTTGGAAACTTTTTTCAACGCCGTTCGGCTCACTACATGCACTGGGCCCATATTTTTGGGCTAAGTTGAGTTAAAATCCAATAAAGTTCATTTCAAAAGGTTTTCATTTTCTATCTAAACTTACTTTTTAAACAATAGTCCAAGGAAATGTCCTACGTGGCTCACCTGTGGATACTTTGTTTTTACTATTGGGTTCCATATTTTTTGTGATAACAAATTGGTGAGAGGCTATATCATCCAACTGTATTAAGATTTTTAAAATTTGCTCTAGGATTTGATAGATGATGAATTATGAAGAAATCTATGTAATAAGATATAAAAATCGAAAATAAAATATTAAATTTTATGTAATTAATGGATGGTGTAAATCCTAATTTTGCCTTGAATTGCGTTATTTCAAGGTTTAAAAATTAGGAAAGAAAGATATAAAAAAAAAAAATTAGGAAAGAAAGGTAGAAATTCATTTTTAATCAAAATAGATTTTTTTTTTCAAGATACAATTTTTAATTTTTAAAAAATTAGATTTAATGTTAGAATTTAGGGGTTTTCCTCGTAACAAGTTTTGAGACAAAAGTTTATAAATATCAATTGTGTCTATTTACTTAGGAAAAAAATGTATCATTTTAGAGGATACAAAATTATGTCATTTTAAGTGAGAGAAAGAGATAAATCATGCGAGAGAGAGTTGGGGCAAAAATTTTTAAAGATGTAGGTCCCACCTTTTTGTAAGAGAGAAAGAATGTAAAATGTGTCTGTTATCAAAAAAAAAAAAAAAAAAAAAATGTGTCATTTAAAATGACACACCTTTTTTCCATTTACTTATTTATTAGAAATTTTTAAGGGAGCCTTAAAGCAAATCTTACGGTTTTTTTATTTGAGTTATAACTATTGTAAGGTTCACATGACAATATGAAAGCAATTGTTGAGTGATAATTGAGATTTAGAATCAATCCTAAGTATAATGGCTATTGTTGAAATTTGATATTAAATTCTAACCGTTAATTTTTGTCAATCAACAATTATAATTTTCGCCGATCAAACTCATTGATTAAGAAAGAGAAAGAAATGCAGTGTCAAACTTTTTAAAGATCCCAATAAATAACTTAGAATACAACAATTTTAAGAAAGAAACGAGGTGTCAAACTTTTTAAAGATCCTACCGTCGTTTAAAAATAAATGCTCCTACCATCGTTTCTTTCTTAAGTTCTTTCTTGTTTTCCAAGTGATTAAAAATAATAAGTATATATGTATAGTCTCTCCTCTTTCACTTTTCCAAGTGATTAAAAATAATTGCTCCTACCGTCGTTTCTTTCTTAAAGTTGTTTCCTTTTGGTTCAGTCCCTTTTCTTTGTGCTTGATGTGGCGGGAGTGCGTGGACAGCATCAACTTGCAAATTTAACTAGACACACCATTACTTAACAAACAAGTAGTTCAAAGAAAAAGAAAAAAAAAAGGATAAAATTTGAGATGATCAAAAGTAATGATACCACACAAATATGTAAAAGAATGAATTGAACCCATTCTTGTATAGTAAATGGCTAAAGGCTTTGACATAGTCTAACTCAGATTTTGTAGGCATCACAAATTGTGAAAGTCATGCCAGCGAACCGTGGCCAAGGCCAGCCCACAAGGTGGTACCAGCTATGCTTTGTTCCCACTAATGCAGATAGTTCAGATGATTCAGACACAGAATCTGTAGTCCTAGCTCCTAATACTCCAACTCCAACTAGTACATGGCAAGTTTCTCCATCAGAAACACCATCACCACCACGACCTCCAAACCCAGAACCTCAAATTGACTGGCATTTTCCACCTCCACCGCCACCGCCACCGCCACTTTATCTGGATACCACAGATGAAGCATTTGGCAGTGAATCACAGGATGATATATATGAAACTCCTCGTCCCGGTTATGCATTTTTGGATCATAATAATACTCCAACTCCTACTAGTACATGGCAAGTTTATCCATCAGAAACACCATCACCACCACGACCTCCAAACCCAGAACCTCAAATTGACTGGCATTTTCCACCTCCACCGCCACCGCCACCGCCACTTTATCTGGATACCACAGATGAAGCATTTGGCAGTGAATCACAGGATGATATATATGAAACTCCTCGTCCCGGTGATGCATTTTTGGATCATAATAATACTCCAACTCCTACTAGTACATGGCAAGTTTATCCATCAGAAACACCATCACCACCACGACCTCCAAACCCAGAACCTCAAATTGACTGGCATTTTCCACCTCCACCGCCACCGCCACTTTATCTGGATACCACAGATGAAGCATTTGGCAGTGAATCACAGGATGATATATATGAAACTCCTCGTCCCGGTTATGCATTTTTGGATCATAATAATACTCAAACTCCTACTAGTACATGGCAAGTTTATCCATCAGAAACACCACTTTATCTGGATGCCACAGATGAAGCATTTGGCAGTGAATCACAGGATGATATATATGAAACTCCTCGTCCCAGTGATGCATTTTTGGATCATAATCCACAGGGTCCCTCTTCTCTGATTGAGCAAGGATGGCCTGAAACTGATAAAAGAAACTACCCTCAGGTTCCAGATGGTATCATCAATTCCATTCTCAGGGTGAGGATCTCAGAGTATGATAGAGATAAACTGTCTCTTTGTCCCATTTGCATGGAAGAGCTTAAAGTGGGTTACCAAGCATGCAAGTTGCCCTGCAACCATACCTACTGTTCTGATTGCATTCTTCTTTGGCTCAACAACAACAAAACCTGTCCTCTTTGTAGGGTTCGATTGGATGGTGGGGAAGGTCAAGGTGGTTCTTATAGCAGAGGTAACAATAGTTTGGAGCCTTAATCACCTGTAATTCATACTCAATCAACCTGGGAATTTATTTTTTTTCCATCTCCAGATTCACAGTTATTATGGAGAATAGTGATGGTGATAACTAAGATGAAGCTGACTATGATAGTGCATGTGACAAGCTAGGTGATTCTCATGAAGATGGAGACATAGCATTATCCTTCTCAGAATGATCGGGGTAAACAAATATATCGATCGGTGGTTGTAAATTTATAGCTATAATGAACTTCTAGAATAGTAATATTCATGGCTTGTCTTGCAACTTGGGTTTTTTTGTTAATTTGCTTGGGTAGCATACATCTCTGTTTCGTATTCTCGTGGTTTTGACCTTTGGAAATGCCCTACTTTTGATGACGAGAATTCTCAATGATGGAGTGAATGAATGAGGTATACAACAAAAATTTAGTTTAAATGCAAATGTTCTTATTAAGAATTTGACAGACTTCAACCTGGTTAACTAAACTGCATAAATATGAAAGAAAGGATATTAGCCTTAAACCAAAAAAAATCACATATATTAACCGGGATATGATATTGTGACACACAAATAATATTATGCACAATGTTACGACCACATCTTAATTGTTGATTTCCGCCAATCAACGGTTATCATTTTTCAAATCAAACTCATTAATTAATTATTAATTCGCAATAAATGATAACCGTTGATTGGCGGAAATCAACGATTAAGATGTGGTCGTAACATTGTGCGTAACATTATTTGTGTGTCACAATATCCTATCCCATATTAACCTGAGTATGTCTATCTAATACTTCCGGAAAATTAGCTTCAGAACTAATTATAAGGATGACCTTTATACTTCCGGAAATCAAATGATCCTTGGCGAGTCTAAAACGTTATGCTTCGATTACGATACCTCAACAAAGAAAATAAGATTTTTCACTAAATGATGTGACATCATTATAGGACAAGATTGAACATAAATTCCGCAAACAACAAAGAGAATAAGGACATTTCATTAATCAAATTTCCTGTATATATGTTCAATCAATACATGCTACGATCATAAATGAAAAATTGAACAAGTTTTGCTCCATATTTTACGATGATGCCAGTGAATCAATCTCAAATGATTATGATCTTCACAAATGTCTCCATTGAGAGTGAGTACCAGCATGGAACCCTTCTGTGTATGCTTTGTTCTTAAATATCATCTGCAGTAAGATCATCTAGTTATCAGAACCACAGTTTTTCACATGATAAAGGCTTATCAACAAAGGAGGGGAAAGTTGAATGGCATCATCAGATACTTATAGAAAGGTTTTTCATATCTGAGCTGAGAGCTTTCCGTAGATTCTCAGACACTCTAGTGCCCAGATGCTCCCCATGTTTATGTATCGTGTCTTCATTGATCTGTGTGATCAAGATTTTTCAGCTTGATGCAGAAAGTATAGAAGTAGTTTGAAATTGAAAGAAAGCCTACAGTTTTCTTTACCTCTGAAAGCAATAACTCTGATGTTTTATGCAACATTTCTTCAACAAATTGGTCAACATCTGCAAAGGATCTTGATGAATGAGTATTGTTGACTGGTTTCCCCTTTGTATTTTTCTCACTAACAACTTTTGCTGCATCAGAGAGATTGACATGTTAGCAAGACATTCACACTGTTTCTAAGCACTGACATCTTTAAGCCACAAACATTGGAGATTTATAGCACGTTTGGTTTTGCTTAATTATTATACAAAAAAAACCAAAAGCTCTATTGGTAGCATTTTGATTATAAACTTCTTTTAACATAAAATATTGGTGCATCAACATGACTGTACAATTTTGCAAATTGTGTCAGATGCAGAGAGTGCAGATAAAATTGTAGGTCCTAGACTCCAAAGTTTCAGTGGTATCAAGTTCAGTTTTAATGTAATCCTCGTGTAGTGATGATTTTGTGATAAGAAAAGAAATACTAAATGGAGAGAAAAGAAATATAAACAACAAAAGGAGAAAATAGAAAAAATTTAATCTATAAACACGAGAAACAGAAAATAAAAGACCGTGCCACCAACTTAAAAGTATAATCAATTTGATCTTTGTAATGCATAATAATAGTTGAAATATAAGTCAATCTGTATATTGTTGCTTGAATAATCATGTATAGTGTATAGGCCAAATGAGAATAATCGCTTTCCTAATTAAAGAACTAATTCTAGGGAAACAAATCAGGAGTAAATGAAACATATAACCTTCACACAATTTCCTATGTCCTATCATAATATGTCTAATAAAAGAAAAAACATATCAATAATAATTACAACATTATACATTCTTTATTTGCAACAATATTTTACCATTAGGCAATACCTTTCGTCTTCTTGTTTTGCGTCAAAGCTCAAACAAAAGGCATAACATTCAAACTTTCCAGATGTCATGCAATCAGAGTGTGAACAAAAAAATTGATTGCTTAAAGAATGAAATTTACATTGTCCAATGAAGAAATTTTGAAGAACTTTATAAGCTTGAACTAATGCTTCAGATTAAGAAAAATAAATTATAGAAAAAGAGATTTATGAAGGAAGAAGAAAAGGTACAAAGAAAGAGGATAAGAAGACATCCTCTTAAGAAAACAAAACAGAGAGAAGAAGTCTTAGGAAAACAAAACAGAGATCAAAACTAGAACCGAGGAGATTGGAAAACGTAACAAAGCATGCCATCAAAGCTCAAACAGAAGGCATAACATTCAAAATGTGTCTGATGTCAGGTAATCAGAGAAACATGGTTTCCATCTGTAGGAAAGCTTGTGATGAAGGTTGCTTTTCTGGTTGATCAAGCAAAACTATTGAACCAGAGAGAACTAGTGCAACTAGATCAGAAAGAGGCTAGGAAGACACCCTCTCAAGAAAACAAAACAAAGAAATCAAAATTGGCCTGCAAAGGGATAAAGAAAACATATGATTACTTATAATGAATAAATATGTTATCAAATAACACCAAAGAACTGCAAAGACAGAAGTGATGCCACAAAATTTCAGCCTCTTTCTGAAAGCCAAAACCTCTGAAATTAGTTAAGAGAAATTTATGCAAGGCCTTAGGAAAGACCCAATATTCTTCAAAAATCCCAAACGAGTAGTTGCAGAACAGTGCAAAAATAGATAAGCACCAGTTTCCGAACTATAACTGCACATACACACATGTAGATAAACCAGTCAGAGGTCTGCGCTTCAATAACATGTCCTTAGTGTTGATTGTGTTAAGAACAACAGTCCAAACAAAAGATTTGATCTCAGATGGAGCTTTAGATTTCCATATGGGTTTTTCTGAACAGAAAACTATCTCTATTAGGGGAATGGGTAAGGAGCTGAAAATAGGATTTGCAAAAAAAAAAGATACCCTAGGACATTGTTATCAAATGCGGGTAGTGGCCGGTAATTACCAAAAAGTAAACGTTGTTTTCATGCATGAAGATGGTACAATGAATGAAGATAGAATATCACATTTAACTGAATTTTGACCTGAAATTGTCTTGGACTTATTATCCACAGAAACATGGTTTCCATCTGTAGGAGCTTGTGATGAAGGTTGCTTTTCAGGCAAAACTATTGAACCAGATGGAACTAGTGCAACTAGATCAGGGGGTTGATCTTTCCCCACTGTAGGATTGGCCTGCAAAGGGATAAAGAAAACATATGATTACTAATAATGAATAAATATGTCATCAAATAAGAAAAGGAAAGGAGATGCCAATAATTTTACTCACCTCGAAATCAACATAAGAGGGATCCCTTCCTATTGACTTAAGAAACTTGTCAAGATCACGGGCATTTAGAGCTGCAAGTGGGTAGAGGAGTGGAATCTAATTAATTTATTGATCAGTGTAGTGCATCAAAGCATGATGGATCACAAGTCACCACACTTAAATCTAGTTAAATGTAAGTGACAATGGACCTGAACAGTGATGCCTTACATTAAACTAATTGAGCTATGCTACAAAAGACTGCATAAATATTTAATTTAAAAATTTGTTATTATGAGATAACATGTAAGGAATAGATAGATACCATCAAATGATGACAACAGACAGATCATAGAGACCCAAGAAAGCACTCGTGAAAACTGAAGACAATGACATTTTTTTCTTAAAATATTTCTGAGATAACAAGTGTGCAAAATGGAGAGTAATAAAATTGATAACCTCAGTCCTCAGTAACTTTCAGCTATGTCTCCTATTTATTACTAATTCTCTTATTGAAAATCATTTCTAAACTAATTCAATTGGCAACAGCATCTAATATAAAACGACTTCTTTGGCATTTGTTAGGCTTGACAAACATATGTTAACAGATATAGTCAGTAGATATCCCACTTGTGTATTTGTCAAGCCTGAAAGATATATACTTAATAGGTCTCATACACATGACATCCTCCACTTCCTACCTAAAGTAAGAGAACATTCTATTAGCCAAAGAGTCAACAAAATTTTAGGACAGCTGGACGAACATATATTCAATAGGAACTAGGAAGGAAGCATTTTCATACTAAGTTTAGAGAATCATAGGATTCTAAGACATCGATGGTTCATTAACTTGTGTAGATTATAATTATCATGCATTAAAGTAAGAAATGAGGACTATAGTACAGGAAAGTAGCCCTAACATGCAAATGCTTTCTTCATTCTACTCATAAAACTTTTTTTTCCTCAATGATAGCATTAGCCATTAGGAAACCTAATCTAGGTTTCTAATCCAAAGCATTCTCTTAATTCAGTATGACTTTTGTTCAAAGTCACTAATGGACTAACTAAAATTCAATACAGCGATTGCTAAGGTTACTTCATAGAATTTACTACAAATAAAGCATTATCCTAAAAATTGTAACACCAATGTATATAACAAATAGATCCACAAAAGATGAGATCCAGCAAAATTTAGGGTTACTTAGTTATACTTCACAGTCCACTGATTTCATATTTGTCCAAATCTTTAACAAGAAGCATTCTATTTTAGAACACTAGCATAAAAGAAATACTTTATTTCATAAAATTTAAGAGTTAGTCAAAAATATGCAACTGATTTTTTTCTCTTCATAAAGGAGACTTCTCACTTACATATGGACATGTCATTTGACAGCGGATGGAAGAAGCAGTGCTCCTGAGTCTTGAACCCTTGATCCAACAACAGCGAAACATCTCTTCAGAAAGGGAAAGACGTGCCACATAAAAGACAGAAATTAGTTTCTTTCAACTATATTTTCTAATTCAGTCTGAACATTCATCGTAAACACTCTAATAAGCATAAACACCACTACATTAACAGGCAAATGCATTATCATTTATCAAAGCAAGTTTTGCTACAGTCATGACACAGATAATCTTTCAGCATGCTCCCGTTCATCATTCAAGTGAATGTCATTTTCAAGCTGACAGAAAAAGCATCAATAACTTCAAATTCAAAATTAGTATTTTTTTCAAAAGAGAAGAAACTTTATAGGAAAAACATTTAGTCATGGATTTCAAAACAAACTATCCTCATGCGGAAATAAGCAAACACCTCTAGTCATGTTATGTTCGCATAGTTTTTCATGTTTAATATTGTATCTTACAGGATCAGAAAGTAAGGTAATGCAATTAATAGCAAGCAACAAGATTTAACAAGAAAAAAATTAGATATCTCATAAGTAGGAAAAAGAATAATAACATTTACATACCGTGCTGATTCATTCACTAGCGCAAACGGAGTGACGCAACCCAAGGGCACCTTGTGAGTAAGGAAAAACAAGGACTTCAAATAAGTCAATGATAATTTCAACCAAGTTATTTATTAAATAATCCTACTAAAATATTAAACTAAGAAACGGTTTCTGTAACCAAGGCAAGAAGAAATCCATAAATGGGATCAACTGCTTTATATCCCAATCCAACCAACTCAATCAGAAAATACCTCAATAAGAACTAGTTTCCTTATGCACTATATATTGGATAGCAACAAGCAACATGGTAAGTAGCTTTTGTGCAAGGACTGAGTTTGTTAAGAAGCCAAGAATTACACAGAAACATGTCTAAAAATCAGACAGTATACCTCTATAAGATATCTGCTAATTTAAAGGTTGAAAACAACTTCTTTAACAAGGTAAAATAAAGATAGAAATATATTCCCAATAATAATAATAAAGACAGAAAGAAATGAAGGTTTAAGCAACAAAGGGATAGAACAAAGGCATAGACAAACCTGAAGTATTTCTCCTATAGCCTCTGCGGGCGCCATTCTCAGACCTCCTTTTCCTAAACCTAGCCGCTGAGATAATACTGGCTCCCATTGGACACAACAAATTACTATCATGAATATCCATTAAAGCCAGGCCAAACAAGCAAGTCAACAAATTCCTCTCAGAATTACAAAATTATTCGTACCTTTTATATCAACTTTGGTATTGGCCAAAGCAGAAACAACATAAAACCTGTGTTTCTTGTCCTGTAAAATTGTAGTAATCAGGGCATATACATATTTGAACAACACAAGGGTGTTTTCTGCTTTAAATTCTAAACGAACATTACCTTCAAAAATAAATTTTTACTCATCCCACCCCCTAAGTGTCCAACATATTTTTCCTGTATGAAAATGGATACAGAATCAGGAGAAAAAAAACATATGGACACAATATACACAAAGCAACCTACAATCTTTAAAGGCCTTTTACCCCTTCCTCAACTGTCAAAACAACTGGATGCTCATACTGGGAAAATTGAATTAGAAGCTCCTGAGCAACACAAACTAACAACAATTAGTCCCATGAAAGAAGGAAAATAAAAAAGTGAAGGGCATCACAAGAAGTCAGATAATTCTGCTCATGGAACATAGGTGCATCAACATCATCATCATCATCATCAAAAGTTCATCGTTATTGAGTGGCGGACCCAGAAAATTATATGAAGAGGGGCGAAAATTTTAACAAATCCAACTTATAGAATTTTAAATAAAATATAATTTAACAAGTATACTAAATTGACGAATTTAACATAGATTATTTCATTGCCATGTGCCATGTCAACAATGAAAAGTAGGAGAATCACAGTCTTAAACCAAAAAACATGTACAGCGATCTCAAGAGATGCACCCATTAAATAATTTTAAGGCTAAAATATAAGTTACCCCCTTGAACTTTGTCCATGTTTCAAATTACCCCCTTATACTTTTAATTGTTTTAATTAACCCCCTGTACTTTATAATTGTTTCAAATCAACAATTCTGTTAAAAATTTGACAAACACTGTTAAACCCTCTCACATGCCCTAAGCCCCAAATCTCAAATATTTCTTCTTTCTTTTCTTCTACTTTGTCAGATTATTCTACTGTCTTCAATTGGCTAGTGTAGTTACCCGATTCTTGTTAGGTACAGAGCTGTATAACATTGAATCGCATACAAAATTCATGCATTTTGGCTGATAAGAGTTAACTAGCCACATCTCATAGATTATATATTGTATTCTTTGACATGTAATACAAGGCTGCATCCTAATTTTTTTTTGCCTCGTCATATATAGTTTTATTGTAGAATTAGGGAATGTTACATCCTAAGTTAAGAAACTCTTCATCTATGATACTGTAAGTCATTCACATGACTCTTTTGAGACTCTTCTGCCATTGTAGCTTCATCTTGATAATCCGAAAGGATAAAGGAATTTCCACACTGCTCAGTCTCAAAATTTCATCATTGTATAAGCGATAAACCAAACAACATGGCATGTCACTGTTACTGTGAGTGACATTTCCAAGTGGCAAAGAGAATAAGGGGTTCTAACAGCATTTGAGATTTGGGGCTTAGGGGGTTTAACAGTGTTTGTAAAAAATTTAACAGAATTGTTGATTTGAAACAATTATAAAGTACAGGAGGTTAATTGAAACAATTAAAAGTACAAGGGGTAATTTGTAACATGATCAAAGTTCAAGGGGTAACTTATATTTTAGCCTAATTTTAATAACAAATATAATCACATAACTAAAATAAATCCAAAAAGAGGGGGAAGCTCGTAGAACCCAAATTAGGCAAGCTAACATCATAAAGTTCCATAATGCCCACAACACTACAGACCCATCTACTTCAATTATCAAGCACCATAAAGCTAAACAAATAAATTAAAAAAGTTATTGCAAACTATAATTATTTTATACCCATTTTTTTTCTTTCACTTTCTGTTGGTTTTTGAGCATCCGAATGTAGTGATTTATCATTCAATGAATGACTGAAAAAACGATTCACTGGTGTAATTCTAAAGTTTTTTATTTTTTACAAAAGTTCTAAACATTCAAAAATTGACTTTTTTTTTTCTTTCTACCCACTCAAGGGATTCTTCCTATATTCTAGGAAAATTATTCCACTGCATGAAACTACAAAAAGATTACAACTTTACAAAGAGAAAGTGAAAATACTCACAACAAGAAAATGGGTATCAAGCTTCTTTCTCATGCCAACAGATTTTGGGTATCAAATGAAGCAAAAGAAGGAGACTCAGAAAATGAAATCGAAAGCTTTGAACAAAAACACTGTACCGATCATCAACAAGGTGAAATCAATTCAACTCATTTCAGATTCAAACGACACACAATGCTAATTTTGTTAAAGTAACCCACCAGTTATGAAAAATAAAATATACTATGTATTTTTTTGGGGACGTAGACATTTTTTTCAGATTTTAGACCCATGTGGGTCCGCCCTTGGTTATTGAGCATGGTAGGATTGATTGATACAAAAATCACCGGCCACAGAAAATGAGTAGAATGGGAAAACGAAGCACACACAGATGAAAATAAAGTAAGGCATTTTCAATATGAATATTGGGTGGGATTCGACGAAAAAAGAGAACCTTTAACAGCTCAAGAAGCTGGTACTTTGAAAAGCCCATGACTTTCTTCTGCAGAATGGAAGAAGCGTTTGCAGAGCAAAAATTCCTCAGATTGGTTACCAAAAACAAACACTGTACTGCAGAATGGAAGAAATTTGTACCTTGGAGCTCCCAAACCCTATTTCGTTTCGTAGAACATTTGGACCATTCTGAGCTTGTTTTAAAAAGTCGTGAAAATGTTAAAAAAAAATTGTGAAAATAAGGTCTGTTTCATTATTGTTTTCGAAAATAATTTTTTTGATTTTTAGAATAAAAAAATTTAAAAATCATGTTTTGATAAGATTTGTTTTGTAAACATTATTTTAAAAATTATTTTTTCTAATTTTTAGAATCAAATCTAGAAAATGTATCTAACTTACTTTTGTTTTTTGTTTTGTGTTTTGATTTTTAACTTTAAAAAATACAAAAAATATATATTTTATTAATTATTATACTAAACAGTTTAAAACAAAAATAATCAAACAAGCCAAGCTTCCAAGAAAGTTATTTGCCATGTACCATAATAATTCTTTCTCTTCCATCTCTGTTATCTCATCCTGAATAAATTGACATTAAATTATCATTAATTAAAAATTGACATTAAAATAATATTAAATTAAAAAATTAATAATAAATTAATTAAATCAAATAATAATTAACAAAATAAATAATTCTTAATTTCTTATTCATTTAACACAAACTTTTTAAATCACCCAAATTCAAAAATACCAAATTTAATATGAATTTCCAAACAAATAATTATATATAAATAGTTATTTTGATAATATGACATTATGGGTCATAGATGTGAGTATTGACATTAGGGGACTAATCTCCTGCATAATATCTCTTCAGAAGATATGTAATGCTATCTCTTAGAGCCTCTTGTCTCCATAGCACACGTGATTTTTTTGAAAATTTACGTGTCCGACACGTGTCCGACACGAACACGCTCGGACACGCTCGGACACGCGTCCGACACGCGGTCAACATTTGAGGACACGCGGTCAACTCTCCGACACGTTCCGACACGTTTTTCCGACACGCAGTCAACTTTTTCGGACACGTGGTCAACGCTCGGACACGCTCGGACACGTTTTTTTTATTTTTTTTTTATTTTTAAATCTTAATTTTATTACTTTAACTAAATATAAAATAAATAATTTATAAATTAATTTTTTTCTGTTACGAAATTTGACATGAAAATTTAACAAAGTACGAAAAATTATTTATATTTATATTTATGTTATGAAATTTAAATATTTGATTAGTTATATGAATTATTATACACTTTTATATTTATTAAATATAAATTATATTATATATATTAAAAAAATTATTTAATATCAAAACGTGTCCCAACGTGTCGAAATATGACATTTTTTAGAATTAACGTGTCGGCGTGTCGTGTCGTGTCGTGTCCCGTGTCCCGTGTCCGTGTCCGTGCATCATAGCCTCTTGTAACCACACACGCAAGGGGGAAAAAAAAGAAGTAAAATTAGTAACACAAAGCTGCTTTTTATTGTTCTGTTTTTTCCTACTTCTAGTTGATTATGTAAGAAGCCCCTGATCATAATGAAGTAATGAACCCATTTATAATGTTATTTTCTGTTCATTTTGTCGAAGTAAATGTTTTTTTCAAAATGCTAAACTTAATATGCATGCCCTCGTTCTGCATGATGGACAAAAATTTGTCAAACAAGCTTTCAAAAGCTATGTTGTTTTTTGTATTAAAAAAAAAGGGTTTAAATTATCTCCATTTATAGAAGACAACTATCTCATGTTAGTGAGACATAAAAAGTTGTGTCATTCTTTTTTTATTTTTTAAAAATTGTGGGACCCACATAACTTGTTTCTATGCATGAGGTAAGTTATCTTCTATCGAAGGAGATTAATAAATTCCTAAAAAAAAATAGCTATGTTGTTTCTACATGTATTGCAGTTTTTCTTATATCTATAATGAGAAATAAAATGGGCTTGCGGTGAAGGCTTTGGGTGAGGAGGTCTTGGGTTCATGATAGAGTCTTCATGCTGTCATTGATTAAAAAAAGAAGAAAAATCAACAATTAAACTTTGCTGACTTCAATTATTACAAGTATTCAATAATTGTGGTCTTGCTGCAGAGAATTGTCAAATCATTATCTTCTGACGAAGCTGTTTGGGATGCTATTCTGAACAATGAAGTTGTACGGGAACTTAGGGAGTCAATATCTGCAGGTTGGCATTTAAGTATTTCATACTAAACCTGAGAAATTTGGAATGTATCTTAGTGGCTCAGTTAAGTTGGAGTTATCTTTCACTCTATATCTCTCTCAGGAGGTTGAATGTAGGGGAAGGTTGGGTGGAATTTGTTCCTTTTACCTTATTCATGTTCATGCTGATAATTGCTATTAGCTTCTTAGCTCGTTTCCATTTTCAGTGTTGTATTGATAATATTATAGAAATATTATTAATATTGTTGTGAATATTAATATTATATATTTATTTATTATTTGTTGTATTGGACTTAGTGCATTAGGTCAAGTATTTTAGGTATTCTCTATAAATAGAGAACCTTTATACAAAGTATTTACACAATTCTATAATATATCATAATATCTTTTTCAAGTTGGTGTCAGAGCTCTCGATTCTGAAGGTTCTGCTTCCGCAAATCACCATCTTTAAAAACCAACCTTATTTGCCTCTCGCCACCACAAAGCCGCCGCCGGAAAAAAAATTTTTGAGGACCTTTTGGATTGTGAGGACCCCTGTTTCACTCCGTTTTCTTAGATCTATCATTCTACGGAGGTTTCTTTTTCATCAGACGACCGAAAAAGCTCAAAAAAAAAAAAACGCGATACTGTTCATCGGGTACTATTCACAAAAAAAAAAAAATCCTGCTTGTTTTTTTTTTTTTTGTCTCCTCTCCATGGATCAGCTTAAACCCGCTATTGATAATATGTGTAAGCCATATGACCGTTCTTTGATCTTATCTGGTAAGAACACACATTCTACATCTCTTCTTGCTTCTTGCACTGATTTTAAAACCTCATGGGTTTTGGATTCTGGTGCAACTGATCATATGACTTGTCGTACTGAGTTGTTTTGTTCTTATCATCCTACTGTTGGTAGTCATACTATATCCGTAGCTGATGGATCCCATAAATCAGTTATTGGTTCTGGTAACATTCAAATTCAATCTTCCTTGTTGCTTAAGAATGTCCTTTATGTTCTTCAGCTTTCTACTAATCTTATCTCCACTCAAAAACTTACAACTGATTTAAATTGTTCTATCACATTTTTTTCTTCTCATTGTGTTATTGAGGATCTTACCACGAAGAAGACAATTGGAGTTGCTAATGAACAGGATGGGTTGTATCATCTCCTTCCAGACCATGCTAGAAAAAATTTGTTATTAACGACACGTCATCCTTCTACTGCAGAGTCTATGATTTGGCTCCATCACAAGCGTCTGGGGCATTCACCATTTAGTCTTTTGAAGTCTATGTTCCCCTCTCTGTTTCTCAATAAGTCGGTTGAGACCTTTCATTGTGATGTTTGTGAATTTGCAAAACACCATCGAGTGTCACTTCCTTTTAGCACTATTAAAAGCAAGGAACCTTTTTCTCTTATCCATTCTGATGTTTGGGGCCTTTCTAAAGTGCACAGTGTTTCAGGTGCAATGTGGTTTGTTTCTTTTATTGACGATTGTACTCGGGTAACATAGATATACTTGATGAAAGACAAGTCTGAAGTACCAGAGATATTCATTCGATTTCATCACATGGTTGAGACTCAGTTTGGTAAAGATATTAAAAGACTCAGATCTGATAATGGTACTGAGTACGTCAATCAACGTCTGTCACAATTCATTTCTGACAGAGGTATGATTCATGAGCTCACATGTGTTGATACCCCTCAACAAAACGGGGTTGCTGAAAGGAAAAATCGTCACCTTCTTGAAGTTGCTAGAGCACTACTTTTCCAGACATCTGTTCCTAGTTCTTATTGGGGAGAAGCAGTGTTAGCTGCAACTTTGAGAATATGGTGAGAATAATGTTATCCCTTGCTGCCCATTACAATTGGGATATAAATCAATTTGATGTGAAAAATATTTTCCTCAATTGTGAGTTAGAAGAAGAAGTCTACATGGAAATCCCGTCTGGTTTTGATTCTGTGAAGGGGAAAATAAAGTTTGTAGATTAAAAAAGGCCTTGTATGGATTGAAGCAGTCACCTCGTGCTTGGTTTGGAAGGTTTACTAAGGTTATGATGACCTTAGGATACAGACAGAGTCAAGGAGATCACACTCTTTTCTTCAAGCACTCCCAAAATGGGAAGCTTACTGTGCTCCTTGTATATGTTGATGATATTATTATCACAGGTGATGATTTTGTGGAGAGACAGATTCTGCAGACACAGCTTGCCTCTGAGTTCGAAGTCAAAGACCTTGGGAAACTGAGATATTTCTTAGGGATAGAAGTAGCTAATTCAAGCAAAGGAATTTTTATCAGTCAGAGGAAATATGTTTTGGATCTTCTCAAAGAAGCAGGAAAGCTCGGGTGTAAACCCTCTAATACTCCTATTGAGCAGAATCACAAGATAGGCTTTGAAGAGGAGAGTCCTCCAGTTGATAAAGGACAATATCAACGGCTAGTTGAGAAATTGATATATCTGGCCCATACTAGACCAGACTTAGCTTATGTTGTTAGTGTTGTCAGTCAGTTTATGCATGATCCAAAGGAGAAACACATGCAGGCAGTGGAGAGAATTCTTCAGTATCTCAAAGCTACTCCTGGTAAAAGACTGTTATTCCGGCGAGATGGCAATCTCTCTTTAGAAGTCTACACTGATGCTGATTATGCTGGATCTGTGACGGACCGTCGTTCTACCACTGGTTATTATATGTTTCTTTGTGGTAACTTGGTGACATGGAGAAGTAAGAAACAAGATGTGGTTGCCAGATCAAGTGCAGAGGCTGAATTTCGAGCCATGGCTCAAGGCATTTGTGAGTTACTATGGCTGAAAATTATACTTGATGATCTCAAAATAAAATGTGAGGGACCAATGCAGCTGCTATGTGATAATAAGTCAACTATTTGTATAGCTCATAATCCGGTTCAACATGATCGGACTAAACATATTGAGGTCGACCTCCATTTCATCAAAGAGAAACTTGATAGCGGGTTGATTACCACACCCTACATTCCCACCGGGTGTCAATTAGCTGATGTATTGACAAAGGGACTTCCTTCAGATAGATTTCAAGAGCTTACTAGCAAGCTGAGAATGATAAATATCTATTTCTCAGCTTGAGGGGGAGTGTTGTAAATATTAATATTATATATTTATTTATTATTTGTTGTATTGGGCTTAGCCCATTAGGTCAAGTATTCTAGGTCTTGTATTCTCTATAAATAGAGAACCTTTGTCCAAAGTATTTACACAATTCTATAATATATCAGAATACCTTTTTCAAAGTAATATTATTATTATTGCTGACTTATGATGGAAATTGGATGTCTTCCACCGATACTTCCATTATCTACATATGAATCACAATTTGACTAATCTGGACATGAAATGTGCAGATGAAGCGCATGTTCTTCCAGATGGGACTGCTCACAGTGACTCCCTTACTACAAGAAATGTGGTGTCGATGTTTGTTACTGTCAAAGCCAAATTCATGGAAGTAATTGAGAAAATTACCAAGATTGTGAACCAGTTGTTTCAACATACTTATCAGAAGATAGGTGGAGGTGGAAATGGCTCTGACTCTGATAACCTCAAAGAAAAGCTGAAAGCTTGTTTAATGCTTACCATTATGGTCCTGTTGGTTGCCATGGTGAACCGTGCCAATAGCTAGGGCATGACAGAATTCACCTACATAACAAGAATTCTCTTCGACTCTCGAAGATTAATTTGAACTGCAAAACTTGTGGATGCTTTGTTTTTTGTCGTTTTGTTTCTTCCTAGACAAAGAAATTTATGATTAAGCTATCATATCGTGGATGAGTTTTGGATGCTTTGTTTTATGTCCTTTGTCTTCTTCATAGACAAAGAAATATATGATTAAGCTATCATATGGTGCATGAATGATAGGCCTACTTTGCATGTTATTTGTTAGACTCAGTAGTTTTTGTCAGACAATGCATTGAACTTAATTTGGTTGGCTTTATTTTCTCTACAAGTTATATTAAAGTAGAGATTTTGAAAGATGTAGTTTGTGTGTGTCCGCAGCTTGCATGCAATACATGGTTCAAAACTACAAAAGAATTTGAAATATCTTACATTTGTCAATGATTTACTTCTTGCATAAAACTAGCGCTTCCTACCAAGCAATAACAGAAATATGGCATTCTTTTTTTTTTTTGAGTTACCCAACCCTAATTATCTCTTTGAGACGAGTTGTCTCCCTCCGGTATCCCCACGAGCTTCGACTCTTTGAGCCGGCTATGAGACTAATCCGGAGTGCGGGAGAACAGTGATGGCTAAAAGTTCAGCCCCCTCCCCAAGAATGCATTCAGCGGGGAAATATGGCATTCTACTTCTACTTCATGCTTAGTGTTTCGTCAATGTCAAATGCTAGGTCTAGTTTCCAATTTGCACTTGCCAATCAGCAGTGCATTTGTAGTCCACCCATATTCACATAATATCCCTATTTACATAAACCACGCAGGTACCTGTACTATTTCCCTATATGATGGCGTATAACCAAATATTCACATATTCACAGATCAATTGAATCAAGATCAGGAGTTACAACAACCCTTTTACTAATCTCCCCAAGAACGCAGCAGTGTTTCTGTGTAGTGTTCATGGCCACAACATTTTGAGCAAAATCACAATTTAAACCTGGAGAGACCTGTTAGAGAACCAAATTATATTGTTATCAAATGCGAGAGTTGAAGTCAACAAGGTAAAAGAACTAAAATATGGGATTTTTTTTTTTTTTTTTCCTTTTCCGGGAATGAGGTGATCTACAAATCTATTACTTCATCATCACATATTGTACAATTAAATTGAATAACACACGGGGAAAACAAAATGACTTGGCTCTTAATTTAGTAAATATAGTAAATTGAGAAAGATGGCGATGCCAATTATTAATTTTGAAACAGGGATAGTAAGACTTACGTCGAACAGGGTTTCTCCTAGTTTTAATTTGATTGCTCCACTCTTGAATACTAGCATTTTGCCCATATATCCACTTGGTAAATCTTCCATGTTACTCCTATTAGTTGGATCTCGTGATACTGTTGATGTACCAATTTTCTCCTTCCCCTTAATACTCACAGATTGCTTGACCAAAGGCAGAGCAGGAAGCTGAAAGAAAAGCATCCTTTGTTGTTCACTCTTCTCCTGTTGAAAAATTATCTATGCATTATATCACAGTACTGCTGTGTTATTAGAATTACTTTAATATTTATTAATGTCTTTCTGACTACTAACCAAGAGCCCGAGTGCTGCAGCAGGATTAACAGTATTCTCATCATACTCCACACTAGTAGCAGCCTCACCAAATTCTTCTTCATCAAGAATTTCTACCAGATAAAAAATCCAAACATGACTGTTAATGCTTAACAAATGCATCCTTGGAAGTTGACTTTTGCTAACAAGACCCTTTTCATACAGTTTCAAAGTACCCTTGGGACTTAATCTGTCTTGTTCATGAATATTAATTCCATTGGTAGATCATTTGTTAATGCATATGAGAGCATACCTGGATCTCCAGAATAGGGCTTCCTCAGAGGAAGAGTAATAGGATAGTAAGAGTTGACATAATCCTGTAATCAAATTAAAGCTTCGGATGCTAAGATTATTGGAAAGATACAGATAGGAAGAGAACAGATGAGTGATGACAATTTCTAACCCATGGTTCCACGTAATCTCTTTTAGTTTTCCCGGCTGATGCATTAGTGTTATCATCAGTAACATCTACCATAAAAGGGTCGCTTTGATCTTCCACAGCAGTTAAAGAACGTGTTAAACCATTTTGCTCATTAGCAAGATATTCAGATGCCGTGCCACTGCTTTTACCGCTATGTACAGACTTACTAATTCCATCTGTCCTTAGAGAAGGTGATGAACCTCCAGGACCAAATGCGACTTGCACGCTTGCTGCAAGTTTTAAACTCCAGAAATTAGAAGCAAACAATATGAATAAAAAAATATTGATTATGATGGTGGAGGTAATTTATCATTGTGAGCAGGCCACACAGAATCAACTAACTACTCAAGGAGTCCAAGATATTTAAATGCAGTCAAAGTGATCAGCTAGTATTTCCCATGGTAAAATGGTTTAGACAAATGTCTAAAATCCCAAAAAGAAACTTCGTTGAAAAGCAAAAAACATAACATATTTCATTCAAATGTACTATATCACATTTGACAGTATACACACGCTTTCCCCTTACTATTAAGCCAATACATATTGCTCTAGATCTTTTCATCTCCCAACACCACAGCTATCTTTCATTTCAAAAACTTCTTCATCAACCATAAATCTTTCCAAAAAATTATCATGAAATAAAGTGACTAATAATGTTTTGCAATGTCTTTCATACTTTCAGCCATGTTTTTTTGCATATAAGGTTATGAATTCAGATGCACAATCATGTTTTGCAAAACTAATGAAAAATTACATTTTCTTTCAACTTTAGGCTGGCGTCTTGCAAGATTCTCCTGCAAATGTAGATAAAAAGCAAATCAATGTCACATTAGAAATAAGGGAAAGGTAAAAAAAAAAAAAAAAAGGAATAGGAAAGGAAAGGTCTCGTTAGCATGTCTATTTCACATTACAATTGCTGTCTTTTGATATAATTTAACTCAGTTAAATCCATGTTGTCTACTTGTCTTTATAGCAGCCTCAGTGACATTGAGCTTGATACAGTGCAAAATGCCAATATTGTTGGGAAATTAGGTAAGGGTTAACAAATGTTAAACATTTGAGAAAGTTCCCTAGTAAACAGTTTTACTATCTCTAAGAGATAAAAGGAGAAATAAAAAAGTCTCTATAAATTCGCAACCTCACATGACATAGGCATGGCATCCTACTTTGATCTTTGTAATGACTTTAACCTTCACCATTATTCAGGTAGCTAGATAATTGGAGCATGCAGACTCTTAATATACATATCAACGTACAATATGTTTTATTTTCAATTCAGAATTCCAGATGCCATGGCCCATCACTCTTAATATACTTATTGGGTGACACTCAGTATTCCATATTGTTCAAATATTTTCGGTGATCTTTTAAGATACAGACGAATACATTCAAGCATAACTTTGCAGCATCTTAGGAATGGAACGATGGCATTGCTAAAGTAACGCATCAAAACCAAACATGCAATTAATTACACGTTTGTTTTTTAATTAATTTTTTCTGAAACATTGCTTCTTTCGAAAGCTCACGTGTTTGGTTTTGGTCATATTTTTTAGAAAAAAATACCACCTTTATTTATTTATTTTAAAAGCTCTCTTTCTAAATATTATACTATAAACTGTTTTAAATATAAAAAAAAAAAAACCTAATTCAAATATACAATTTATATTAACACACACAAAATGAGTGAGATTATTAACATTTTAATCACCTATTCACACTCTTTATAGTAACTATTTTTAATTACAATTTCTAAATTGAGCTAAATAAAAGTGCAATCTTTATATTTTAAAATTTGTTGCTTGAGGACAATGTAAAGATTAAAGTACAGGTGACTACCAAAAAAGAAAAAAAAAAGACAGCTAATTTTTACTAAACAAATCACCTATATATGTATTATTATCTTAACCTTTTTCTAAATAAAAAAAAAAAAACAACTCCAAAAGTAAGACTAAATCTTAAAATGAGAAAATATAGGATAATAAAGATTCAAACATAATTACTATTTTGGGTTGTAGAAAAATTGAAAATTGCATAACATTACATTTATTTTTGAGTTTTCTTATTAACTTAATTTATTTTGGCTAAAGGGCCTAAGATGGAAATTTAGGAGGAGAGCTATTGTTAGCATTATTAATTTCCCTTCAATTGATTCTGATTTTCTCACTGGCCAAACACAAGTTTAGATGTTATTATTAACTTAAAATAAACTATAAATTACGAGCACTACATTGAACACTGAGAATATCACAAACCATAATTGAAGATAATTAGAGAAAGAAAACGATGAGAACGGAGAGACATACATTCCAACGACGTAAGAAAGCTTGAGCCTGTGCGCTATCTTCGTGTAGTTCATCACCTGCTTCACTGCATCGAAACATTTTCCACAATCAGGCAATGAATGATGTTTCGATTCGGTGTTTGGAAATTCAAAGTGAATTTTAGGTGAATTACGTTTCGGAAGAAGGTGGTGGTGGTTTGGGCTTCCTGTTGGGTGGGGCTTTTGGGGCGAACTTGACCTACACAGTGCACACAACACAAAACGACACAACGTTGATTTGAAACCGAAACTATTTCAAAATAGAAAGGAATTCGGTGTTTGTGAGTGAGTACCTTCCGGCGAGTTGAAGAGGATTGGTCTGGATCCATGGCTCTGATGTTGAAGGACAAAATGATGAACTAAAAATACTGATTTTGGGCAAAACGAGAATCGAACACGGGAGCTCAGAAAATGAGTTTCGGTTTTTACCACTGAGCTTATAAACTACTTGTGACTAGGGTTTCTAATTTTGTTTATATACATATATTTAGACACTTGTTAGTACTAAAAGATGGTTAATTCAAATATTCGAAAAATTATGTGTAAAGAAATAAATGAGTTAAAAAATATCATTAAACTTTTGACTCATAAATTTATCCAACCTGAGTCTAGCTGATTTTTCGACAGCATCTTTAAGTATTTATTTTACACAGTCGGTTTGTTTTCACGAACCAGTACAAAAGACCTGGATGGGTTAAATCGTTTGCCAGTCCTAGACATGTTAACATTATCACATTTTCCTTTTTTTTTAAAAAATTTGGGCTACAAATAAATGCATTATTTATCAGTATTTTTTGGTCCTGTATATTTAAGTAATATGATAATAATATAGAACTAATTTTGTTGATTGAAGTTAAATCTTGTAAAATTATGAGTGAAAAAATAAATGAGTCAAAAAAAATCATTAAACGGGCTACCAGCTTTGACTCATAAATTTTTCCAACCAGAGTTTAACTGTCTTTTAAGTTATTTTATAAAGAAATAATCTTTTCTTATGTTACATGAGAAAAGATTAATCTCCTACACTCACAAAATAAAGGAGAGAGAAGAGAGAATAGATGAGAGAGAAAAAATATAGGGTGAACTCCACCTTTGAATTGTGTGTGTAGGAAAAAAAATATTGTCTCATGTAACATGAGAAAATATTAATCCTTTTATAAAAGGTAACAAAGTTTTATATTCAACTTCAGATTTAAAATAAAGAAAAATCATATTTCATAAAAGAATTATTTTTAGAAAAATGACTTCTAGAGGTGATTTTTCCTTTTGTCTGTAATTAAAATAAAAATTACCACTTTGATATCATTCCAAAATTATATATTAATCTGTCTCTTTTTAACCGTTGAATGATTAATCGATTAAATGTCAAATTAATATAGTAACCGATTAACAAATTTATTTAATCGATTAAATTTCGATGATACACAAAACACTCACTTTTTTTTCTATCATTTTTTTTTCTAAGGTTTCTTTTGGTTGCTCTCTTGGGTATACATGGAAAGTGATTTGAGAGCTCCTCAATATCGGTGTCATTGTTTTGTTTTTACTTTATTTATGATTGACGCACAGACACGCTCTGGCGGACACATGTCAAACACCGATACATTTCAACACGTGTCCAATATGCGATCAACATTTTACAACACACGATCAATACTTCGACACACTGTCAATGTTTTCCTACAAGTTTTTTATATCCATATTTTATTTTATTTTTATTTTTAACTAAACATGAAAAATTAACTTATAAATCAAATATTTTCTATTATGAAATATGACCTGAATTTTTTTATATTTTTTATATTTATGTTATGAAATTTGAATATTTAATTGATTATATGACTTATTATGAACTGCTATTGTATTGAATGTAAATTATATTATATATATTAAAAATATTACTTAATATCAAAATGTGTCCTAACGTGTCGAAATCTAATATTTTTTAGAATTAATGTATCGACGTGTCGTATCCTGAGTCACATGTTAGTGTCGGTGCAACATAGGGCAAAAGTATCAAAAAGCGGACTTCTAGCTATACTCCTTAGAGGTGGCTATATGAGTTGAACTCGAAATGTCAACTCCCAACCAACCAAAATGGGGCGAGTTGTGTTACACATCTCAACCCTCCAACCTGTCTCAACTCGCCCCGCCTGGTTGCGGGTCAAAACGGGTTAGCGGTGGGTCGGGTTGGCTCGACAGGCCTTTTTTTCTATTAGGTAGTATTTTATTTGTCACTAAACTTTTATGATATCTAATTTTTTTATCTTAATACTCCCCTAGAAAAAATAAAGAAAAATTTTATTTATGATAAAAGTTATCCATATATGAAAGCAAAAGTAAGTTCCTAAAGAATATCTGACTGAATATTAATATGCATTTAGGCTTGAGATTACAAAAAAAACTAAGAGCAGTGTGAAATAAAAATAAGCAATATTGTAGGTTTCATAAAATATAATTTATTTAATTTTTTATTTTTTATTTTTTTATTTTTTATAGGCAAGTTGATCCGGCACCTACCATAAAATTGGATAGATTAAACTTTTCGATCCACGTTCAAGAAAGGACCAACCCATTTTTGATAAATTTGGACTAATCGACCCGTTTTGCCTCCCCATTAGGCTCATCTTGGCTCCAGCCCTTATTCACACTATAGGACAAAGACCCATTTATCAAGCTCTGATCCGTCGGACTATTGAGCTTAACCAGATTTCTGTACATTGAGCCAATCATCCGATCTATGAGTTACAATCCCAGCTATTCCAGTTCAATCATTTGTTTTATTTTTATTTTGAAAGTTCACTCATTTTGTGTGTGTGTGTATAGTAAATTTTTCTTTATAACGTGTTGTGAATTGCATAAACACGGTAATAATGAATGTCAAGTTTCTTACTACCTAGCGTAGCCAAAATGAGAAAGGTAAGTAGTGATAATCCAAAGAGCGGTGAACAATGTTGCTAAAGTAGATGATTCAATTCAGTTTCGCATGAACAGACAAATTGCAAATCAGAACAGATTCATGGTTCAAGATGATCAGCTGAAAATAAAGTGATTAAGAAGAAACATGACACCCGGTTTCAATTCAGTAGAGTTGATTTCTCAGATTTAGGCCCTCAAAGATACAATAAATTTCAAACCATCGTGGATGAAAAGAGAAAACAGACGACCTCAAATCTATCCAACAAAAGAAGCATTGACGAAGGTTAAAATGAAGTCTAAAATTTTATAATATACGTAACTTCCGTTTCCACGAGAATATGATAGCAAACAGTCAAATACCTATACAACTGCATATTCTTTTTTCGCGATCTAAATTCAAGTTATTTAACAAGAATTATAAACCCAAGAAACAATTTAACACACACACACATATATATATATAAAATACATAAAACAAAATTTGAAACTATATCATAATTTTAAAAATTTATAAAAAAAAAATTTAAATAAGGCAAATATCATATAAGTCTTATTTTATATTAAAGATTTAACTTAATAATCTCCAATAATTGATTAAATTTATTATAAACAAATAATCAAGGGGAAGGTTATACTTACAACCTATTTTCTTTATAACCTCTTACAACCATATATCTTAACCGTTGATTTTCGTCAATCAACGGTTATCAATTATTGTGATTTAATAATTAATTAATAAATTTAATTTACAAAAATCTTAACAGTTAATTGACAAAAATCAAAAGTTAGAATATATAGGTCGTAAGTATAACCTTCCCCAATAATCAATATCAAACTTAATCATTCCTCTATTTCTCTATTCATTAATTACACATTGTTTCTTCTATTCATCACATCTTAAAACTGATACAATCCGATCAAAAAATTTAATTTTTAAATTTTTTTATCTTACATTATAACATTTTTAAAATTTTATTAGATTCGATCGATTTATATACTACCCTACTCAATAGCAAATGCACACACAAACAGACCATGATGAATTACCCATTTCAATGAACACGAATCATCAGACGTTATTTTCAAGTTCCGATTTGCAACGATGCATATATGAAAACGCAAAGTATTTCTAAACAAACTAATACCATAGAAAAAGAGAAACAACTAAATAACTGGCATAAATGTAAAAGAAATCATAATTTATGGCATTAAAGTATGGGCTTTATTAATTTAGGAGAATAATTCTCTCCTACCATAAACACAATCATAAATAGAACTCACTCACTTATAAAAAAATAAAAATTAAACTACACAGAAATCGATAATATATAAAAAAAGAGATACTCATCAACAACATGAAAATAATTTTTCCCATAAAGTATAACGATATGAAATCACAAGCTTGAGGCAAGCACCTAGAAATTGATTTACTATGATGGATTTAACCGGTATCTGACTAGCAAAATCAGGGGTCGAGGACCATAACAATTTTGTGAAAAGACATCAGGTTTCTGACTAGAAATGCAGAGCAGCAACTTCGAGTGTCTAAACTACCCCCATATGAAGAATCTGAAGGCCCCGTTAGATTCTACGTAGATATAAGAACTTCCTAATAGTTATTAAATCCTGAGAACAGTAAATCCACTCAATACTTCAGATCAAGGAGTACGTATACGATTGGCGTACTAATTCTTTCTGGCAGCCTATGCCTAAAAAGAAAAAGGTTCTAGGTGAACTAACATATTTCCTTATTCTTACAAGCACACTAACTGAACTAGCATGGCTCCAGGATTTATCGACCATGATCTAAGATTTGCATTGTCGAATTAGAAAAATTTAGATATCCCTAGCAACAATACAACACAACTGTTTGTTTTAATCCAAAAAAAAGGGCAGATATCAAGCAGAAAAATAAAGAAAATTTCTACAACTCCAATTCTTTGATCATTTACTCTATCTTCGCCCAGCAACACAGCTAAACGAAGCATGAGGAGACAACTCATAAACACCACTATCAACAATCATTTTCACCTCAGCCTTCATCTTATGCCCAAAAACATTGACCGTGTCAACGGGACCACATGATCACTCCAGAAAGAAATGAGAAACTTGATAATTGCCTGTACCATGATACAAGAATTTGGTGTTCATAACACCACGTCAGCTAAAATTTATAAGATGTGAAAATACCATCGAAGTCTGACATTTGTCATGCCAGAAACAGAAAAACGTTTGAACTTTTTTACCTGTCACACTGGAACGGTTAAATACATTTTATAGTTGTATGAACAAATCATTAAAAGAAAAAATATCTCTTCTACCAACCCCAAATGCCTAAAATAAATGGCAAGGCATGATTACCTTCGGGATGAGATGCATGATTAAAGGCATCTAAAAGCCAGCTTCAGCACCAAGCAATTAAGAGAATTAGCATCAAACAAAAAAGATTTAAGCTCATCACCAAAATTATTAGTTAGAATCAGTTTTGAATGAACTAGAACAACTAAAATGACTACAGAAAAGTATCAATATGAAACACCAGAAACCAGCTGCCATAAAGTTCAAACAAACTTTCAAAGGAAACATTAGCAACCAGACATTACTGTGTAAATCAATAAAATGCCACAGAAAATAATTCAGCCAGTATTAAGTCCTACACAAAAAGAAAAGATTAATAACAATCATAACTATAGTAAGCTTCGATGTTTGCCTCTGCTGAATGAAGACTGCTATAAACTTCTAGCCCAAATCTCTGCAAATTTCATAACAGTACAGCAAGGTTAAAGAAGTGAGTCCCAAACTTCCAAGAAAGACATGGCAAGAGGTTAAGAAATCAGGTTCACAAGAGCTCCAAGAAACATCAGGCCTGTCAAAACGTTACATCATAACAATGAAGAGTTAAGAGAGGCAAAATAACGATAAAATATAAATAACATACAGAAGGCCATTGTTAATTTTATGCATAATAAAAAAGCATGAGAATAGACACCCTCAAGTAGTGAAAGCGAAAGAAAAATATAGAGATCTTTGAAAAACTAGAAATGAAAATTGTATACATAATCTGCAAAATGTTGCATTCAAAATCTATTACAATATGGATATCAACCAATCTAACAATACATTAAAGGGCCGACCCAGTTCAAATACTCACTTCGTGAGTGTCTGGGGAAGGGAATACTCTAGGCAGTCTTTCCCCTGCTTTTTGCAGAGAGGCTGATTCGAACCCGCGACCTGACACACCACGGCAAGCAAGCTTACCGCTGAGCCAAGCCGGCCCTTCACTCTAACAATACATTAACAAACAAAAAAAAAAGGTTCCTTTTTTCTTTTGGTTCATTTCAGGAAGGGGATTTTATACCTGAGCCATACAACTGTAACTAGTTTCTGCTCCAATGTACACCATAAAATTAGGAAGGAGACCATACATCATCCCATTAATAAATAAGCTGGAGAAATTAAATCCAAGAAAAAGTTTGTGCAGATATCATATACTTACAAAGTCATACCAGTTTGCCCTTTCCTCTGTAAGGGCCCTTCAGATAAACAGAAGACCAATTGAATTCAATTGTAAGGAAGTTAACATAGAAGGTTGAATACGTTGTTTAATACAATAAAATAGCTTTCTTTAAGGTCCAGGGAGTCAGTAGGGAGGCTTTTGCAGCTAACATTGCCCTTTATTTGCAGAAAAATAAATTCCAAGGAAACCAAATACATTGCAATATATAAAACCTTGGGAAGGAAAAAACCCCAAAATCGCATTAAAAACAAAACCATGAATTTAAAGATATGCTAATGAACACAACGCACATCAGAGAAACAAAAAACATCAAGTTGCAGATGAAAATCCCAACTTGAAAGTGAAGCCAACAGCATATAACTATGAACAGGAGCAGACAAGTTAATTGTAATAGCATTAATTTATTAGGACCAAATTAAATCCAAAAAATCCTTAGTCCCACCTGTTTCCAATTAGAACAAAATCATAAACAACTCACGGTTTTTATGGGATGCTCATCAGCTGAAAAAGTTTTAAAACTGGTATTTGAATGCAAGGGTACTAAGTAACTTTAAGAACTAATCTCTTAGAATCAAAGAAATTGTGATACCAACAATTCTAAAAGGATTCCGTATGACTAAATAAAAAGAATAAACTTTACATCAGATGTGAAAGCAAATCAGGAATTGAAAGCTAAATTCTATATATATATATAAAAAAAAAAAATAGAAACGAAAAACACACCTTTTGGAACTTTGAAGCATGATGAAACTAGATCATTTCATCTCTGCCATGAACTTCTCGTACTCTGAATCAGCACCATGTGATGTCTTCTCAGCTGATGAAACAGGAGAAGGCACTGGTGGATTTGTGGCCCAAGGCACATTACCAATGCTCTGGGACTGATCAGCACCATACGTTGTCTTCTCAGCAGACGAAGCATGAGGTGGCACCATAGGATTACTGGCCCAAGGCACATTTGATGTCGAGACAGGAATGTGAGCAGGAGGGGGAGGTGGTGGAGGAACTGCGCTGTAGTATGGTGGATATCCATAAGATGCAGGGTATGTAGGTTGAGCTGCTGGTGGCATTGAAGGTATCGCGTTCCCATACATATTCGCTGGTAGAGACTGAGTAGAAGTGCTATTGTCAGATTGCACTCCAGGAGGGTAACTCTGCTGCATTTCACCAGAAGTTGCAGGCTGGGATGGGGCACCAGGGGGGCCTGTTGGGACAGGAGGATATTGAACACCATAATGAGGCATGGGTTGACCTTGCATCGAAGGATACATTGTTGACCCAGGTGGAGGAGGCGCATAAGGGGCATATGGAGGAGGAACGGGAGGTCCCCATGGGACTGGGGTACCACCATAACTCCCAGGGGGAGCACTCCCAAGAGGACCACCGGCAGCATACTGTTGGGAAGGATAGGCGCCATGTGGTTGGCTTGGAACAGGATAAGTGGGCACAGCAGATGCTGGTGGGCCAGGAGGTACAACAGGCTGAGGAGGCTTACCAGCAACTCTGACAGCAATGGTTCGGCCCTCAAGGCGATAACCATTCATTGCCAAAATCGCATTGTTTGCCATTGTGATATCAGCATATTTCACAAACCCGTATCCTTTACTTAAACCTGATATTCGATCCTTGATAACTTTTGCCATTACAATCTCACCAAATTGTTGAAACAATTGGATCAGGCCATCATCATCAAGAGTGGGTGGCAAATATCCAATGTACAAATTTGTATCATCAATTTCCTTTTTAACTGCACTAGCCCCTAGGCCAGCTTGTGGTACACCACCAGTTGAACCAGAATTGTTAGCCCAAGGAGGATTGCCTCCAGAATTGCCCGAACCAATTGCCAACGTACTGGTTTGCTTTGTTGCAGATTCAGGAACTGAACCTCCCAACTCTGCCAGGAAGTTCTGATACTCATCATCCATCTTCTTCCCAGTAGCACCCTTTACAGGACAATCTATACTTGGATGACCACCGTCCCCACAATGCTTACAAACAACTTCGCTCTTAAATGTTGAAGTCCTTGTAGGACAAGCATATTGCCTATGACCGGGTTCACCACACAACCGGCAATACTCTTCATCCCTAATCGTCCCATTTAAGGCAGCAAGTTCCCTAAGCTGTTGCCTCTTATGCTCATTCAATACCTCATCCACAGGTTGCAAGAGCTTCTCCACCATACCTGCAGCAGCTTCAAGCGATTCTGGCGTCTCTGCCTCCACTAAAACATGCAAATCTTCATTTTCCGAAGGGTCAGGTTTCAAATCCCTCTTCTGTTGCAGCCTGCCTTCTTTCACCGATCCTTTACCTCTAATCACAATTTTAGCACCAGTTTCTTTCTCCATCCGCTTCTGAGTGTTACCTCTAGGACCAATAATAAGCCCTATGAAATTGTAACCAGGATATTCTTTCATTGGTATATAAAGCTTCTTCTGAAGCTTTGGTGGCCTATAATCTGCAGGTGGCTTAAACGCGGGGTTTTTCTTTATAATCTGAGATATAATTTCCTGCCTCTCCTTTTGCAATCTCTCTCGCGCACGATATTCTCTGGTGTTAATTCTAATGCCCATATTATCATATATAGGTTCAGGCGAAGGTGATCGAGCACCTTCTGGGCGATCATCCAAAGGCAAACCTGATTGTAGCATTCGACTAATCTCAAGAAGCCTACTATTCAAAGCTTGAATCTCGGGATCAAATTCAATACCACCCATGAAATCAGGAAGTTGAATCACCGGCTTTGGCTCGTCATCGGCCCAACGGGATTTCCTCCTCTTCGTTCCGGCAGCACCCGATTCGCCACCGCTCTGGTCGTTGGAATCCGGCTGCGGGTCCCAACGGCTTCGACGGCGGCGCTTGCTAGTAGTCTCCTCCTCGCCGCCAGATTGATCCTTGTCGGTGCCGCTCCGGGTAGTACCGGTCAACCCGTTCTCGGAGACCAAGGGTTTCGAGATCTGAGGCCGTGAATTGTTATCATTAGCAGCGCCCTGGCCGTTCTCCGATGGGTTTCCGTGGCCACTGTCGTTATTACCGTTAGAGTTTTGACCATCGGAAGCTAGGGTTTCTGATGGATTGTGATACTCTGGTGCTGAAAAGTTCTGTGGAGGTGGATCGTAGGAAGGAAGAAGAGGCGGGTTAGGGTTCGAATCGAGAGCGTCCATGGATTGCAGAAATAGGAAGATAGATAGGGTTAGGGTTTTAATTTCAGTGCAAAGAAGAAGATTGCAGTACTTGTGAGGTAACTGATTGAAACAGAAGCATCCACAGGATCCACATTAGTGTTAAATAGCAATGACAAAGCGTCCTGAGTTACGGGTACGGGTCGGTAATGCCTAACCCAAATCTAAAATGGATTAATTTATGTTTCTAGAAAATATGATTAAAGCAAAAAAGTATCAATTTCTACTGAAACGAGAAGATGTAAATTATGTTGCACCATATTGCACCATATTGCACTGATTTCTTTTTAATATATAATATAATGAAAAAACATTTTCTTTTTTTAAAGGAGAAAATTTTTCTTATGTTAGTTACTCAAAGCATATGTGGGTCCCACCTTTAATTTTTTTCTTTTTTCACTATTTTGTGGGACTCACTTATACAATGTGTCACTAACATGAGAAAAGTTTTCTCCTTTAAAAGAAGAAAATGTTTTCTCTAATATAATTTATGTCCAATATATAAAACAGCTCATAATAAATTATATAATTAATTAAATATTTTAGTTTTATAATATAAATATAAAGAAATAATTTTTTATGTCTTATTAATTTTTTATATTAAATTTAATGGTAAAAATATTTTTTTAAATAATTTTTTTTTATTTAAATAAATATATAAAATAAAATAAAATTTGAATTAAAAAAAAAATGTTGAAAAAATATTGACGACCTGTTAAATATGTTGGAACATTAACTGCATGTAGATACATAATATGTCAGTCCGTGCTTGACACGTATTTTTAATGATAAACTAATTATATCAGTAAAAATCACTTTTTTTACTCTCTTTAAATTTTCTGTGTTCATTAATTGTTATTGACTGAACATTAATTTAACTTTTTCACATTAAGGAGAAACTTTGGATTTTCAATTATAATTATTAAAATAATAAAATATTTAACTTCTACACTAAAAATAAATTAATTTGAAATCTTAAATGTAATTATAAATATAACGACAAATATTTTATAAAAATTAATAATTAAATATAATAAATTCTTTTAAATCATATCTCAAATCTTAAATTTTAAATCACGCTGTGTTTTTTTATCAAGCAAAATACTATTATATTTATTGTTTCACTTGGATCTAGATGTCAAATTGTTGTTTCTTTGGACATGTGAGGAAAAGATTATTTGAGTCATTTGTAATAGGTTAACTCTAAATGCATTGTACCTAAAAATAAGTTTGAAATAGATCATCTCATGTTTTGTTTTAATATGATATGTTATGTGAAGGTCTCAGTTATTTATTTATAAATTAACAATTATAATTTTAATAAAGAAATTTGTAAAATGAAAAAAATATAAATAGTTACTTTAATTGTTCATTGTTGATCTTCAATGACTGACATCCTAAGCATGCATGGTTATATTAAAACTAAAACAAGACATGAGATGATCGATATAGTTAAAATATGTTAATTTACCAACAACAACAAAAAAAACTGTTGAAAGATCATTTCGCCCCAAACAGCAACACCTTATAGCTTGTTTACTTCTTCCATAAGTCATTTATATCTCCCTTATTCATTGTCATATAAGTGTTAAGGAAAATATTAGGAAGATTTTCCCTTGTTGACAGTATGTTGTCTACACCAACCAAATTTATTATGAAAATGAGAGAACAAATTTGCATACACGGATACACCCATTTAATCATGATAGTATATAATTAAGGATAAAATTCAAATATCACCCATGTTGCGTGAATCATATATTATACCAGGAAAAATTCCTCCAATTATATAATAAAAATTTAAACTAAAGTCACTCTAGCACATAGCTATACAAAATAGAGTTAAATTTTGAAATTGAAAAGGGAAGAAAAGACTGGATACTTTTAAATAAAAAACAATGCACTCGTAACATCGACCCAGAGAGTGCATCTGATTAACTTTTGATGTACATAGGAACTAACATCTGTAGTGTCATGTACTCGCAATAATCTAATTTCATTTTAGTTGGACTATTTTTATTCTTTAAGGTATGCATTTAATAGTATGCATTTTATTATGAGTTATATTACTCTCATGTAATAGGAGATATATTATCTTATGTTGTAGATACAATCATGTAATGGGTCCCATTATTTATTAAAAAAGAAAAAAGAGAAGTATGAAAATCGATGGGTGTGTAGGAAGTTATATTATCTCATGCAACATGAAAGTAATATAACCCTTTTATTATACATAGGATATAGTGATGGGTTTAAATTGTCTCCTTTTACACGAGACAATTATCTTATGTTAATGAAGCATAAAAAAATGTGTCATTCTTTTTTTATTTTTAAAAAATAATGGGATCCACATAATTTGTTTGTATAACATAATGCAAGCTATTTTCTATTAAAGGAGATTAATAAATCCCGTTAGTGATATCCCACAAAACAACAATTAATACAGACTATGCCATGTACTCATAATAATAGATAACTAAACCATAAGTCTACAAGCATAGTATGCAGAAACAATAACTATATAGAAAGTTGTATAAATTGTGTTGTTTTGTCAGAATCATCCGTTGGAATCACTTGCACATGCCAAGAGAGAGTGTAATTATTCTTGACAGGGTGAGTGATTTCGATTTTGTAGTCTCCATGAAAAAGGGAGCCCTCAAGGAACCCATCTTCGTCTGTGGTGGCTGATAATTTTTTCAACCCCCATTCATTAAGAAGCTTGTCCACAACATCCCCTGCAGGCAAGTTCTTGAAATTGTTATCTACTAAGCAAATCCTATAGCAACCTTGTGGTGACCATGCTGTCCACATTACAATGCCCTGAACCTGTGGGTGGGAGTGTGCTTCTCTAAGAACCTGCTCGAAGTACTCTGCCTACAAAAACCATATTTAGAAAACTTTCATGAATTAAATGCATAAGTAAGTCTAATACTAAAATAACATTTTGAGGCAGAGCTATATTTCTTTTTTGCATAAAAGAAATATCTCTATGTTTAAGTTCAGCTCAAATCTCATGCAGAAATGCCTCAGCAACTGAAGGTAGATTAAGTTTAGAGTAAATATTTTTTTCGGTCCTCAGCAAATTTCACGATATCCGCTTTAGTCCCTAGAAAATAAAAAGGCTATTCGTGGTCCTTAAGAAATTCAAAGTGGACCTTTTTTAGTCCTTTTGAGGGACTAATGTGGGTCTTTTTTGAATTTGTGAGGGACCACGATTTCAATTAAATGGATTCATTTTGAAATTTTTAGGGACCACGAATAATTTTTTTATTTGCTAGGAACTAAAGCAAGCATCGTTGCTGAGGACCAAAAAGAACATTTACTATTAAGTGTATATAAAGCCATTAGAATTTGTCTAGTAATGAGAGGTTTGAGTAAATTGTATGAGGTCATAGATTCCAACCTCGGTGTCACGTATAAAAAAAGATTATGTTTATATAAGCAGTTTGTTAGACATGTATTATCTACCAAGATGCACATGTTGTTCTTCTAGTAACCTCAAAATTGATACATGAGAAAAAGAATTTTAACAAGAAAATAACTTGGTTTTGTTATTGAATTTTACCTGCTTAGGCTGGCTTGCAACATCTAATTCTGTAATCCAAATTGGCAAACCAGTAGCGGCAAGGGTATCAATGGAAGCTCTCATATAAGGCAGATTAGGAGGAAAATTAGGGAAATGGGACTCAAGCCCAAGTCCAATTGGTATTCTTGAATTCCCAGCATACTTTTGGATCTCTCTAAGCTTTTGGATGTACTTTGCTGGGGTTGATAAACCATCTCTACTATCCTCAATGGTATTATATTCATTGATGAATAAAGTGGTTTGTTCATCAATTTTGTGAACCTCATTGAAAATCCTGGCTGAAAAATATTGTCCAAGTTTATTTTCAAAGAATGAAAAATGCAGATTTTCATTAACAACATCCCAAGCAATAAGTTGGCCCTTGTATCTTGAAACTACGGAATTCACCCTCCTTTCGACTGCTGAGTTAAGCTGGTTTGGTGAGAGAGAAGGAACCCAACTTGGTTGGTAATGAGGATCATCCCAAAATATATTGTGGCCTCGAACAGCAATGTTGTGATTCTTGGCAAACTGTAGCATGGCATCGGGAACCATGTAGTTATCCTTGCCTTGTATATATTCGGTGCTGTACCACTTCATTTCATTTGCAAATGTGGCAACTGAGAACCTAGATGTGAACCAATCTTGATATGCCCTATTGTTTAGAATGTAACTGTTGATTGCACTTCCAAATGGAAAACCTGACTTCTTCTGTATAATAGATATACTTGTATTTGGTAAAGGATTTCCTTGTTCATCAACTACTTGGACTAACACCTTCCTCTTCCGTGCCTGCCAAGTCAAGATTAAACTCTTTGTAATCTTTTTCTTTTCATATATCATATTAGAAACGTTCAAAAACAAAGTCAATAAAATTTTCATGCTGAACACAATTTCTAGGTAAGTTCCTAATGTCAAAGAGATTCATTATACCTTCCACCTTTGCTATCATTAAATATTTGACAATTGCCTAAAAAAGGTTAATATACATAGGTTCGCTTTTTACGTAGTTACTGCAGATAAGTTATCTGCAGTAAGCGACATTGTTTTGGGGCAGAAATCATGGTATTTTTGTAATTTTAATTTATTTCAAAGTTATAATAGTCTTTATATTTATAATTTTTTAAGATTTTAATACCAAAACGACGTCGTTTTGAGAATAAATGCAGATAACTTATCTACAGTAATTGCAGAAATATTTTTCCCATATACATAATGGAAAACTATAACTAATGTTTACCTTCTCAATGCTTCGATATTGATGAGATCTCCATTGATTTTCTGTGAATGGTTGCAAGGAAATGCTGTCGATCCAAATTTCCACATAAGTATTTTTGCTCTACAGAGTTCAACATTTTGAAGAGATAATCAAAATCAAATTACTAAAGAATAACTTCAATAAAATAAAATACCCATTGCTTCCCATTTTATTAGTAGTACCTCAAAATAGAGCTCAGCAGGTCCTGTCGTATCCGATGTGAGACCACCCTTAAGCATAGACCAGCAATTAGGCTCAGCAATAATGGCACCCGCATGTTTGAATCCTTTAGTTGTTTTGACAACTGCTGTTACTGGAACATTTCCCTCACTCACTTGTATCCAAGCTGCATAGTTTCCCTCAATGCAATTGGGTTATTGATTTTTAAGGTGGGAGTTACTATGCAGAATTTGATATATATTTGAGTACAAAATTTACCTGATAAAGTATAATGCTTCCCCTTTTGAAGGTAAATCTTCTGAGAGACACTATCATATACTTGATTTCTGCTATGAGCTACCACATATCGGTTGCCTAATGATTCTCGATGTTCTATTTTTGCACCCTCATATGCAGTCCACCCTTGTAGTCCATTATTCAGTTCTGGGTTTTGGATGATTCCTCCATTGTACTGAGGCTTGTGTGGGTATGCCAAACACTGAGGTAGAAAACATTTAACACCCAAAATTAAAGTGAATTTTTTAGTAATATAAGTAACACCATTGAAAATATAAATGTTGCAGGGAGAGCTTACTTCGATGCTGACAGTGTAATCATAGGATAATGCTTCAGCTTCTAAACCTGTGGTGGCAAGTGAGATAGATATATCAGTTCTATATATTCTGACATAGTTTCTTTCATCAATAACATTGTAAGAAACTAAAAAAATAAAGCTACAAAAGGAAACTGAATATAATGTTGTGTGTGTGTGTGTCTATATATATATATATATATATATATATATATATATATATATATATATATATATATATATGGAGGTAGGATCCTTTGATACCTCATCTGAAAGTCATTAGATCAAAAAAAATCAACGGCTCTAATTTGTAAGCATGTGACACCGTTGATCTTTTTTGATCTAATAGCTATAAGATGAGGTGTCAAATTTGACACCGGTGTCAAATTTGACACCGGTGTCAAATGATCCTACCTCATATATATATATATATATATATATATATATATATATATATACACGGACGTGTCAATAAATGTGTACGTATATATAGATTTTTGTTATATACACACACGGACGTGTCAATAAAGGAATAACAATAATAATAATAAATATTATCCAAAAGTAATAACAAACAAATAAGATGAAGTGGCAACAGGTATCCCTGTTATGATTGAAAAATAATGAAATTTAAACTTGCTTGGCAAACTAATTCTGCTGGTAAATACCTATGTAGCATCGATACTGACACGGGACACGTGACACGATACGACACGATATTGTGACACTTTAATTACTAAAATTTTAGATTTCGACACGTTAGGACACGTTTTGATATTAAATAATATTTTTAATTTATGTAGTGTATATTATATTTAATATTCAATAATTTAACAAAAAAATGAATCTAAACTTATAATATTCATAAATTTTGCAAAGAAACATAAGATATCCCAAATATTTATATTACTCAATAAAATAGTAATCGTAATCCAACGAATCTAATAGTTGAAACTAAAAACTCAACGCAACGCAACCTTTAATCCTTCTCTTGAATTTCTATAACGCGTGTTGAAGTGTCGGGGAGTGTTGGAGTGTCTGAGAGTTTTGCGACGTGTCGGACACGACACGTCAGGATTTTTGAAGTGTCGGTGCTTCATAGGTAAATACTATAGATTTTAGGGAAAATTTCATTTTCACCAACTATAATTTTATAATTTATCATTTGACTTCATGTGATTTTAAACTTATCACTTAGATCTACTGTACTAAAATGATTTATTATTTAACTCCCTATGGTTTCAAATTTTCACTTAAACCCCTTGTGATTGCAAAAATTTTCACTTAGATCCCTTGTGGTTATAAAAATTAAAATTTTAAAAATTAAATTTTTTGTCTTTTTTATTTTATATCCTCACCTAATGCATTTTGGGTTTTAAAAATATTTCAAGTTATTTATTCTAAAATTAATTTATAAATTATCTTTATTTTTTATTTATTTTAAAAAATATATTTGAAGTTAAACAAAAATATTATTTAAGATAAATTAAATATGTATCATCAAAATAAGATATTTACTTTCTTTAGATAATTTTATAATGATATCGGGTAAAATAGATAAAATAAAATAATATTTTATTTGCATTTATTTTCTTGATAAAAATACTTGAATTTTTTATTATTATTTAAAGCCTAAATGCATTAGGTGAGAATATAAAATAAAAAAGAAGAAAAAATTATTTTAAATATTTTTTTTTTATATTTTTTTTTATAACCACAAGGAGTCTAAGTGAAAAAATTTCTACCACAAGATATCTAAGTGAAAATTTGAAACTATAGGGAATTAAATGATAAATTATTTAAACACAATAAATCAATGTGATATATTTAAAATCATAAAAAGTCAAATGATAAATCACAAAACCACGATACGTGAAAATGAAATTTTCTCTAAATTTTATGCAGAATGTAAATAACGAAGATGTCGTGCATGTTAAAACAAAAAAAATTATTACAAAAAAAAAAAAAAATTAATCGGCAACGCGGAGTAATATTGTTAAAATCAAAATTTTAAGTAAAATCGAAATGAGACTAAAAAGTCATAAAATATAAAATTGTAATTAAAAAAATCGTAAAAGCGTTTGGAATATTGATAAAATTATTTTGATGAAAAAAATTATAAAAACGTAAAATCGTAATGATAAATTAAGATTTTAACAACTATGACACAGACGTATATTACGATTAAATATATATAAAATAGAAAAAATATTGACTAACACGTACTTTGTTGGCGTATATTGAAAATTGAAAATATGGTGAGAGGTGATTAGTGGTTATCATATCCATATTAAAAGTGTCAATATATGGTTACCAAAAAAAAAAAGTGTCAATATATGGGATACAAATAGGAGGAAGGTTATACTTATAATCTATTTTTGTTTATAGTCTTTTACAACTATAATCTTAACCATTGATTTTCGCAAATCAATAGTTATTATTTTCGTAAATTAAATTTATTAATTAATAATAAACAATAATCGTTGATTGGTGAAAATCAACGGTTAAGATTACAGTGATAAAAGATTGTAAGTATAACTTCCTCTTTAAATATATAGATAATGAAAACAAACCTGCGAAAAGGATGACACATAGCAGAAGGACGAGACTCATAATTTTGTTTCCAACCTTCAAAGCCGTGACAGCTAATTTTCTTGTCACCGATTTCACTTGATGAACTTGAGAATCATATGCAAGAAGTAGAAAAGAGAATTTTAGCTTTTCTTCTTAAAAAAATAAAACGAAAATTAAATAAAACCATAATAATTTGCAATAAAAAAATTGCAGAAATCACTTTTCTACTTTTTTTTTTTCTTAAAGTAAAATAAAGACGAAGATTGCCAAAATACAAAATAATTTTTCTCCAGAATGTGAGGAAACAGAATAAACATAGACAACATACATTGCTCCTTACTTGCTTGTATTCTGTGTATACATTTTGGCTTCGTTGCGTTCCCTTTTAAAGTGTAAGATCACTTCAAAAATTATTCTCAGATCACATATTTGACTATAAAAGGGAAAAGTTTAAAAACTCGATATGGTTTCCTTATCGAGTTTTTTTCTTTTCATTTATCTTATATCTTCTATGTTTTTTTTCTTATCTGTTATTTATCTTATAATTTTTTCCATTCAATGTTGGCCCCGGATTAAGAGTGGGATGAATTGAGTTTATTGAGAATTTTGTCATAAAAAAAAAAAACACAATTGCAATAAAACAAAGACTAAAGAGAAAAAGTGACACGATTATTTTAACGTGAAAAAAAACTCACAATCTTAATTTAGATACCTCTACATGATTGGGAGACAAATCCAATATTACAATCTATTTAAATACAAGAATATATCATATTCTACACTAATACAAAAATTAACCTGAAACATAACCTTCAGATTCTCAATGACTCCATAAAACCAAACGACTTCCGTCTTTATTCGCAATGAACAAAGACCGACTTATTTCTAAGCCACAATATTTTTCAAGGTCAAAAAAAAAATTTAATTAAAATTGATTACCTTAGACGTTTCTAAATAAACAAATAGGTACAAATTAAACATAATGCCTTGGTTACCAAATAATACTGAAAGCATCTTAAGAGGAAAAATACTCACAATATGTGCAAATGTGCTCTTTCTCTTGAATGCTCACCCATGCTTTAAAAAAGACTCAAAGTATGGTTTTATAGACTTTTTTCCAAAATCAATTAGTAAGGAAAAATATCTAAATTTTTGCACTAAATTGGTTTGCCAAGATTATCATGATTTAAAAAAAAATCCAAAATACCTTTTGAAAATAAAATCAAAATATTCAAATTAATTTTCCAAAAATTGACTTTCCAAAATCATATAAAATCAAATCAAATATTTCAAAAAAAAAAAATTAATCTCAAATTAAATTTTTCTTTTTCAAATCAAAAATCAAATCTTAAAAATCTATTTAGAGGAAAAATAAAAATTTTAAATATTTTTTCCTTAATTTCCAAAACTTTAAAGATTATAAAACGCATGATCAAGATTCACCCATCCAACCATTACATGAAATCTAAGATTTTATCTTGCAACTTCGATCTTCACAATTTCATGACAATTGTCTTGCATTCTCTTCATAATAATTCACATAAATTAATTCGTACAATAATTTTTCAAAAACTAAACAAACTATTGAATAATTTGACTTCACTTGTTTGTTATTATGAAATAAAAATTAGACAAGATGTGGGACCCAACATTTAATACTATTAGTAATTGAATAATTCGATCATTTTATCCATATTTTATTTGTATAAAATGTTGGTAATCTATGTATTAAAAAAAAAGATGGTAATCTTACTTAAAGATTTTGATTACCAATAAAAAACTTCTTTTGATAATTTAATGGTTTTGGCCAAAATTTAATGGTTACCAATAACAAACTTACTTAAATAACAAAAAAAAAAATTGGCCAAAATTTAAATAATAAATTACTGATTTTAATATAGGCAAAATATGAATAAAATGGAAAGCATTAAAGAGTTGAACATCATTAAAAAAAAAAATTAAAAAAAAAATTGATAGTTAAACTTTGAAAAGTTTTCTTCTTTCCTTTACTTTTTCTTATAATGATTGCCATAATTTTATGTTTACTTTTTTCTCGTGTCCAATTAATGATTTTGATTTCAACAACTTATTACCATAATTTTAATTGGATATTTGGTATGTTTTGATGACACATTGTTTTATAGATTTCATAAGATTCACTTTATTATATTGGTTTCATTTCAACAACTCATTACATTAATTTTAATTGAATATTTGGTATTTTTTTTATGACACATTGTTTTATAGATTTCATAAGATTGGCTTTCTTATATTGGTTTCATTTCAACAAATTATTACCTTAATTTTAAGGGAAAAAGATTTGTTTTTTTATTTAGTATTTCATACTATATCTTATCGATAAGATATAATATAGTATAAAAAGTTATTTTTTTTCTCTCTCCTAAGTCACTCACTCTCAGTGACGTGGAGAAAGAAAAAGAATAATTTTTCATATTATAACTAGGGATATTCATCAACCGATCCAAACTGATTCAAACCGCGGTGACCGAACCGAAAAATCGATAACCGAACAAACCGAAAAATCAAAAATCGAAAAAAAAAAACCGTAAATTTTAATTTGATTGTATCGATTTTCGGATTAGTTGATGAAAATTGATCCAATGTATTAATTTTTCTCTACCTACTTGAGTCTTTTCTCGATCATAGCCCAAAAATTTCTAAACCCAAAAAAAAATTTAGTTACATTTCATCAACAAAATTTCATTTGTGTAGAGCTTCATATCCATTGCCAAAAAAAAAAATTATATTATCGTTAACTGATGTTTTTTTATTTAAATTTTTTTTTTACAAAGCATTGATATATAAAAGATGTTATTTGCACAATAATTATGAAACAAATTTTAGGATTTTAAAAAAATTGAAAATCGATCTAATCCAAACCGAAAAAAATTGGATTGAATCTGATCAGATGATTTTTCCTTCCAAAATCGATCCAATTCAGACTGCGATCACCCCTAATTATAACTATGTCTTACAAGTAAGACATAGTGTTAAACACTAAAAGACACAAACTTGTATCCTTTAAAAGGAAATCAACTTAACCCAAATTTTAATTGGATATTTGGTGTTTTGATGACACATTGTTTATATATTAAGAATCCCAACCCATGAACTCACACTGCGTTTAATATTCAATTTATGATAATATCTGAAAATTAAAAATTTAAAAAAATTTAATTTTCTGAAAATTCTGAAAAATACCTTGTAACAAACACCGTTGGGGTTGAACTCTCTTTACGACCTATCGATTAGCTAATGTATGGTTGAGTTAAATTGGATCCACTCAAGTTAGGCCGAAATTTATTTTTTAAAACTTTATTCACTGATCCAAATATTTTTTGAAGTTATTTGGACTAGCCTGTCAAATTCATCTCGTTGTTTTGGCACTTCTAGTTAATAAAATGGGTTTGACCTTTCTTTTCTTTTAATTTTTTTTTCTGCCACACTCATATAAAAAAAATGAATTTCATTATAAAGAGAAGAGAGAAAAAATGTTAAAGAAACCATTCAATTTTGTATGATTGTTGTAGAAAAAATTTCTCCAACGAAAGAAAAAGTATTTTTCCCTAATAAAATACAAAGAAAGAGAATGTGGTATTAATTAACAATTTTCTTTCTTTTTATTAGCCTGCTTGAACTTTTTCACAATGAAGAGGATTTTAAAATATTTTATGAAAAGAGTGTCGTAGATTTAAGAAAACATTCGTCATTTTCTTTCCATTTAAGAATAGGAAATTTAAGCTTTTGATTAAAAAAAAGCTCATCTATAGTAAAAACAAAAGAAATAGAAAATTTGATGTGCATCTCATTACCAAAAAAAATAAAAAATTGCGAACAAAAAAAATTAATGTATATCTGAATTAGTTTATTTTTTTTCCGCTTTGTGATATAGCTTTCGAAAAATCTATTATTCCCTAAAACTAATCAATTCCTAACACGCACTTATTATATAAAAGTAATATTTTTTACCCCAAATATTTTACTATTGATTTCATTTAAACTAACAATTTAGTATCACATAATTTAATGAAAGGAGGTAATATAAAAAATATTGATTTAATCAATATAGCTTATATAAAATAAAGAGAAAATATATTGTTTAAAATTATATATATATATATATATATATATATATATATAGAGAGAGAGAGAGAGAGAGAGACTAATTTATAGTTTTAATTATAAATAAATAGATTACCACTCATGTGACGTACAAATTGTAAAAACTTATATAAAATATGAAAAATCTCTTTTCATGATAAATTTAAAAATATATCATATATTTATTGAAATTGCAACGCCCTTTAAATTAAATATATCATATATTTATTGAAATTGCAACGCCCTTTAAATTATGTAAAAGATAAGTAAAAAAATTTTATATGAATCTCGCACGTTCAGCAATAGAAAATTTTAATTAATTTACTATTCAAATATGAAAGTAATATTATAATTATTATATTAATAATATAATTTTAAAGTTATTTCAAAATCAAATATTATAACTTTTTATTATTATGTTCATTATTAAATTTCTTATTTTAATATTACTTCTTTTTATAAATAAAGGATTGAAGGTTTATTATTTTCCACTTGGGGCGTTTGGTAGAGGAAATTTTTTTTTTATCCGGAAATCTCGATATTCAAAAATATGAAAAAAAAATATTCAGTTTACGATAATATCTGAAAATTTAAAATTTAAAAAAATTCAATTTTTCGGATATCCTACAAAATATCGCGTACCAAACGACCCGTTAAGAATTGAGATAAAACATAAAGTCTATTGTGGACCCATGCGAGTTTGAATCATCTTATTTTTAACTTGTTTTTTTTTATATAAGCAGGAATTAGGCCAAATAAATTTTAAGAAAAACACTTATAAATATATTGAAAAGTTCTTTTTTTTTACAATGAAAAGCAAAACTAAAAACCTAAAGCTCCTAAGAGGAATTTTTTTATAGATAAAATTTTATTTTTACCCAGTGTGATTTTGTGATTTATCATTTGACTCCTTATAATTTTAAATTTACCGCTTAGACTCGTTGTGCCGAAAGAATTTACCATTTAACCCCTTATGATTTTAAATTTTCACTTAGACCCTATTGTGGTTACAAAAAAAATTTACTTATATCCGTAGTGGTTATAAAAAAATTTACTTAGACCCTGGTTATTTAAAAAATAAATATTTAAAATAAATTTTCTCTCTTTTTATTTTATATCATAATGTAATGCATTTATGGTTTGAAAAATATTTCAATTTTATTTATTTTGAAATTAATTTATAAATTATCTAAAAATTTTATTTATTTTAAAAATATATTTGGAATTAAAAAAATATTATTTAAGATAAATTAAATACATATTTTAAAATACGGTATTTATTTTCTTTAGATAATTTTATAAAAAAATCGGATAAAAAATAGATAAAATAAAATAATACTTAATTTGAATTTATTTTCTGAATAAAAACGAGTGATTAAAAAATAAATATTTAAAATATGTTTTATCTTTTATTTTATTTTATATCCTCATGTATAATTCTTAAAAAAAATTATGAACGCCAATTTGGAAGTTTAAAATGAGCGTAGTTAAAAATAATAATAAAAAAATTTGATTCCTATCGAGAATATCTTTAATGAGGGCGAAGAGATTTTTGAAATAATAATAAAATAAAATTTAAGCATCATCATTAAAACAACAATTTAAGATGAACAAAGGTCCCAAAATTGCAACAAAAAAACCAGAAGACATAATAACTAACGACATTATTTAATTGAATTTAAAATGCGGAAGCGGAAGCCGATGGAGACGTTATTTTGGGATTCCCGACAATGAAGCTCCTCCGGTGAGGGGTAACGGGGCCCCGGCGGCAGCCGTCGAGGATGGCGGTGAGGCTGTGGGGCTCAACATCTTTGGCGAGCCACTGATCAACGAAGAAGATGGTCTGAGAGCAGGGCTTGTGGGGCCCAGTGGAAGTAACCTCGAGGGAGTCACAGTACCAACCATGGTGAGAGCCTGAGCCGTCGGAGGTGAGGTTGAGACGGCAAACGGGGGAGTCAATGCAAGGTCCACGGCCACTGAAGGCGTCGAGGTTGGCACGCTCGAAGTAGTTGTGTCCTGCACCCATCACACCCCATGACCTCAGGTTTGGGACCCACACAGACCGGTTCATCGCATCGCTCAGTGTCACGCTTATGTTGGAATCGGTTCCGCCTTTTATGATCGACCCGGTCTTTACGAACAACGTGTACACGCACTCCTGTAGTTTGTGTTTCATTAAACCAAACTCATAATCATATATTTTACAAGGAAATTATTATGTCATTTTACACGAGATAATTATTTTATGTTATTCTCATATCAAAAATTATGTCACTATTTTTTAATTTTTTTAAATAGGTGGTGGGCCTCACTGCATCATGTGTCTATAGTAGGAAATAACTAATTCCAACAATATAAGAAAATAGAATCTTTTACAGACTGTTAATTTTTGTGTATCTAATCGTTTTAATTTATTAGAAATTAATAATATTTTAATGAGTGAGACTCAATAAATCTCAATCATTAGATGTATGAAAATCAATAGTTAAAATTTAGTGTAAAACTTATTATTCTTATACTGGTGTAAGTTATTATATTCCTTCGTATACATGCAAAACAAAATTACTTAGAATAATAATAATAATAATAATATGTTAATATGGAATAATATATCATCCGCTACATTAATAAATGGATTTAATGTTTATTACGTTATATAAGATAAATTTTATTTATTACATACATAAAAATGTACGGGACTCATGTGAAGAAAAGAGATAAAAAGAAAACGTAGGTCCCATGTACTTTTATATATGTAGGAAACGAATTTATCTACTGATAAATCTTTAATAAATAAGATCATATCCATGACATCTTTCAATTTTAAATATTAATGGATGTAATTTTTATTTTTATTTTTTGTTATCAAATTCTGTTTGATAAATGATCCATGTGAGTAAAAATATGCAATTACAAATTTTTCAAAAACGAAACTAAATGCATTACAAGTAAGCAAAGATTTTAAGTAATAATTCTGTTCACATTGTAAAAGATATATGAACGGATTAGATTGATCATAAAAAGCATTTAAGCGAATTGGGCGAAGATATAAAAGAAGAATAAGCAATGCTAAAGATTCAAAAAAGATGTGATTGTCATGTGTCGTATACAATGAAAATGGCTTTGATGTATGTTTGTGAGGAAGAAGATTATGTGTTAGTGATGTGCGAAGGTAGCTAGATGAAATGAAATGAGGTTACAATTAGAGAAGTGAAGAAGAAGAGTACTGTAAAATACTTACATTGGAGTCTCCGGCGTGTGCAGGAAGGAAGAAAGCTACAAAGAGAAAGAAGAGGTAGATATTCTTCATTTTCTTAGATGCACTTCGTGACTCTCTATTTGTTGTTAGATCCAGATCTAGGGAAACGAGGAAGATTCAGCAGGTTACGCATATATGGGTAGTATTTCCGGGAGCCACGTTTACCCCGTCTTGCTTAACTAGAAATATTTTTTTCTTTTTTATGAAAAAGTAACTATTAGGGAAGAGTGACCATAATGTCACAACTTATAAAATAAATTGTTTAATTATCACCCGAATAATACTTTTTACTAGACTGTACCACGTCTAAGTTCACTACCAGTCATATAGCAAACTTGATTAGGCCACGTGGCACGTTCCCATTAGAGTACTAAGTTCGTTACAATCGTAACGAACTTCGTCGCCTATGATTTCATGACACGTGCATATTTTATAAGAAAAAAGCAGACTGAATCAAGTTTATTATGACTGGTAGCGAATTTGGTGCGCTAATGGAAGCGTGCCACGTGGCTTAACTAAGTTCGCTATAACTAATTGAAGTAAAATGTACTGTTCGCGTAGTATTTTAAAAAAAAATATTACAAAATTGATCAATCTATTAGTCTATTAGGATTTACCAACATTTGATATAATACAATTTTTATATAATATAAAAGTCTTTTATGATTATTTTCACGTAGTAATTTTTAACTATACACCTATTTTAATTTAATTTTCGAGTTTTCATTCTTTCATAAATGTTTTTCTTAATTTTTCATTTTTTTTCATTTTTTTTAAAAAGCAATCAAAGTGTATTTATTTTAAATAAATTTAGGTAGAATGCACTGACATTTACCTGACTTAAGTATGGCATGGGGCAACATCATTTGTGAAGCAGCATTTGAATAATAAGAAAAATTACTGAATTCAGACGATAAGAAAATACAAATAATAATCACAATTACCATTTCAATTGCTGGAGCTACCAAGATCAAAGTCCATGGTGTAATCATACTCAATTGTCGGAATTACAGAGGCCATGAATTCACAACATGACCAGTTCAATTGATGATGACTCAAGGAGAGGAAAAACAACTAGTGCATATTAACATACATGTGTAACCCCAGATGATAACAAAAAGCATTTATTAACAAAGAATGCTTCACTCCAACTAACAACCTATCATGAGTGTAAATCTAAGCACGATTCACTGGCCAAACATAGAATAGCTAGGATTTATTGGTCAATATGTCTATTTAATTGAAAGTCAAGTTTATTGTTTCCTAATCACTTTAGGCGTGCTTATCGGGATACTTATTAAGTTATTAACTCTTTTGGATGTGCCAAGTGTTACACACTTGTAGAGGATACATATTGGAAATAAGTTGAAAATGTAATTACAAAATTCGAACCAAAGATCCTTCCTACACAAAGGAGCAAAATTGAAAACAATAAACAAAATAAAATCAAAGTAACCAAGTTTCTCACGTACACGCTTTACCCAAATAAATGCCAAAAGCCTAATCTCATCTCAGATCAAGGAACATGATAGAGAGACCTCCTTAAAAATGGGAGAATTCCATTCCAACCTAAATTCGTAAATACACAAAACAGAAAACAAAAAATGGGTAATTTCATGCATAAAATTCTTGCACATTACCAATAGAAGAGGTTTTGTAAACATATCGGTATTACAGAAACAAGTGAAAGAAATTAAAAGCTAACTTCTAGGATCCATATATAATATAAACCACATTCTCCGGCACTATATTTTGACATTGAAATAATCTGGATCGAAGTGGTGTAACCGTACATAACCATCTTCACCTCCACTTGAAAAACTACAAAACAAAAAGAATACTCAAGGCCATTAAAGAAATAAAATAAACAGTTCCACAGTTATTCAGGACTATGTATCACTAAAGTACTCTGATAAGACAAAAATATCAGATATTTTGGGACAGAGAATTGAAACATAGACTACTAACCAATCCATAATATAACATTTCATAAATCACATGTAATGCTACAATTGCAAATACTATTTGAAATCATAATCCATCACAATAAATGTGACAATTTACTACACGGATCGTCCTCAAGTAAGATAATGTCGGATTATCTTCAACGTATTGCCTCTTCAAACTCCTTTCCATGATAATTATAAAATACAGACAACTAATGTCCAGCACAAATTATTTCAGTAAGTACATTGCTTAGCATAAATTTGAAAATTTCTTCTAACTTGAAGAGCACATGATGATATTATTCAGCAACAGATAAGTAAGCATTAATAATTTCATCTGTTTATGATAAATGACTCAAATAGAACCAGGTTACGTTCTACTCTTGTGCATTCTTTTTGTATCCTAATGATACTATCGTAACACTCTACTAACTGTAGGGGTATTCACTCAAGGTTATATTTCATGCAAACGTTGATCGACACAATCAAATGCTGAAATTTATATATTAAAAATATATAGACAACATACAAATTTTGGGTTTTCATTGATCAATGTAATGACCAAAACTAGTGGAAAAATGCTTTGTTGTTGTTCATATTTACATTACACCATATATATATTAAACAATTACACATAGTATATACAACATATGGTAAATTGTTGAGATTTTTAAACAATTACGTGAAAGAAATGGTGCGGTTCAATTACACATGGTGGTTTCTAAAAGTATATCATGAGGCAACACAAAAAAAGAGAGGTGAAGAACAAAGAACATACCTTTTTCCATCAGGGTTAAAGGCCAATGCATTAATTGGTCCGAAATGCCCTTTCACACCCCCAATTTCTTCTTGAAGAATCTAAACAAATGGAAACAACAAATATAAAATAGAGAAGTTGAATATTCAACATCATTAGAGAACTCAAACTGGTAGAGGAAAAAGAAACAACCAAATTTACCTTATCAAAGAATTTGGCTTCAAATTTGCCCGCACGATGATCAGTAGTTGTAACAGCTGATGCATCCTGACCACCTCCGAGCACCACCTACAAAAAACACATTGCATGGAATTCAGAAAACCATACAAGGACCGAAATAATAATATAATATATGGTCCAAACAAACGGAAGTAGGAAACTGAAGTAGATAAAAGATTTTCATCTGGCCCTATCAAGCATGAACTATTTCAAAGTGCACTTATTTCATGAATTAGTGAACAACTGCGATATGCAAAAAAGGGTGTTAGTGATTTATATGTGGAAAAAAATTGTATGAAGAAAGATAGGGGCTAGGCATATTCTTAACCAGCTTCCTAAAATTATAGGAAACCTTTCTGCAGGATAAACACGTCAATCAAATAAAGTAGAAACATCAGATAAAGTAGAGACAAAATCACTTGCATGGTTAACAAAACACGATTAGTATGAATATTATAACTTGAGATTGACTAGTTTACAATGCACAAATACATACATGATCAAGAAGAGGTGACATTGCAACTGCATTGACTGGGCGTTCTGTCACATATGTCTTGATAAGAGTTAAGGTTCTGGTATCCCAAAGCTAGTTAACAGCCAAAAGACGTTGTCAAAAAAAAAAAAAAAAACTGGTTAGGCGAAAATAAAATCAGGTGAAGTTATGGAGACAATATTTATGAGCACTAACAGAAAGAGAAAAAGTAAAGAATTAAAACGCTGATCATTAATACCCTAGCAGACTTATCAAGGGAGCCAGTAAGGAAATGTGAACCATCTGCAGATTTTGCGAGTGATGTTATTGTCTTTTTGTGGCCAGATTCCTTATCTGACTCTTTAAGTAGTTTTCCGGTCTGCGAACAAGTGAAAGAGAATAAACTAACTTTGTTATCACTGTTAGGAAATTGGAAAGCTAATAAAAGAAAGAAAAATGAAGAATGGAAGTGACCTCAGAATCCCAGATACGAATAATAGCATCTTCTCCGGCACTAATAATAGATTTGTTGAGGGGTCCCCAAATAGCTCTATTTATTCTTCCCTGGGGCCCCTTAATGACAAGCAGAGATTCACCAGTCTCTGAGAAATGGATGAATAGCATTAGAATTAGAATTAGGTAGTGGGTTCAGCAAATTAAATTAGTAGAGAATGAGAAAGAGCTTACGGTCAGTAGGATCTTTAGCAATGCGCTTGACATGGATTGCAGAAGGCAATTCCATAAACGGATCAGTGGTGATAACCGCAAGCTTATCACCAACAGAGAAGTCAACAGACCTAGCCGGGGAATCAAAATTGAATGTGTACAATTGCTGACCACTTTTCACGTTCCATAGCTTCACGGTCTGGTCAGCACTACCAGTTATCAAACGACCCGAATCTCCTGCATCATCATCATCAACCATGAAACCATATTCATATTATTATTATGGTAAAAAAAAAAAAGATAATTAGAAAATATAAAATGATGAGGAACTTGCTTGAGACATCGCAGCACCAAACGGCACCGTTGTGGCCTCGATAAGTGCCCAAGCGTTCGCCGTTGTCGGCAAACCACACGGTGGGGTTGTGGTCCTTTGCACAAGAGAAAAGGAGATCGCCGTCTCTGTTGTACTTGAGGAATGTCAATGGCCTCTCATGGCCTTTCATCAAAATTGGCCTCATACTTCCCCTTCTTTCTCTCCAATCTGCTCCTGCAACAATTAGGGTTCAAGTTCAACTTGCTTCTTCTTAGAGCCGTCAAATCCAAAAGTCTAGCAGGGCCAAAAAGCCCGCATATTAAACAGCCCAAACGAGCCAAAACATCATACAATCCCACGGGTTAAGGCCAGCCCGCAGGCCAAAAATCAATTAGGCAGAAAAATTTGTCCTTTTAGCAGCCAAAAAGCACCATATAACAATCCCACAATGAATATAACATCATAAGATCTCATTTAGAAAAAGGAAAAAACAAACTCAGCTGCTGTGATTTTACAGAGAGGCTCTCATTTACAATCCCACACACCAATACATATAGCATAAAATAGCAATCGAAATCAATCTACATTCTGCAAGGCATATGCGGTTATCTTTCTCTAAGGTAGAACATTTGAAATTTGATAATGCATTGTTGCAGAACTATAGATAATTTTGATACTCCATTTATTGAACTGATAACTGATGGAGCACAACACTAATCTTTCAGCAAATCCAGTGCCTAAGAATGGGTATTCAAACTTAGAAACAAGGCCTAACAGAAATAAGATTTTGAGAAATAATAACAACAATCATAAAAGCTCTCAGAATCCTATATTATTCTGATAACCAATGCAAAACAGAGATAGCATAACGCTAAACCATACCTCTGTGACGAAGAAAAAGAACGAGTAGAAGAAAGAATAAATCAGAAGACCTATCGACTGCGAAGAAGGAGAACACTGAGAAGAAGAAGAAATCGGAACAGGTGTGAGTGAGTGCTCGTGAAGAAGAAGAAAAACAAAAAGAAAGGGAAATTAGGGATCTAGGGTTTTGATAAAAAGAATGGGCCGGCCCGCGGTAACTGAATTATAACAATGCACATTACAAAGCCCAACAACATTTTCCCGACCCTAGTGGTCTTTTTTTATTTTTTTTGGTACGTACGCGCCCCCCACCCCCCCCCCACCCCCCTAGAGGCATTTGATTCACAATAAAATTTATATCTTATTTTATTTGAATTAAATTATTTGAAGATACGCATTTAAATCTTATGGTCTTCTATTTATATCGTAAAAATAAATTTAAATCAAATATTATTATTTTTATTGATATTATTATAACTTTTTTTTAAAATTAATATAAATAATTTATTTAACTAATACATCTTTAATTTATCTTAAATAATATTATTAATTTTAAATATATATTTTTACATAACTAAGAAAAATGAAAGATGATTTTTAAAATAATTTCAAAATAAATAACTTTAAATATTTTTTTAAATAGGAGTTCTTTTAATTATATTTTTTTTAAAGCAAAACAGATTAATTCAAAATATTTATCTATTAAATAAAAATTTATAATTATAAATATGGCTTTAATATTTTTAAAGTGAATGTAGATAAGTTATCTACATTCGCTCCCAAAACGACGTCGTTTTGAATTAAAAAATAAAAAATTATAATGAAAAAGACTATTATAACCCATAAATTATAATTGCAAAAACATATTGATTTCCGACTCAAAATAACGTCGTTTTGAGCTCAATGTAAATAAGTTATCTACATTGACTAATGTAAATAAGTTATTATTGACTGTAGAAAAAGCGAATCCTATAAATATTTAATTTAAACAACCCAGGGTAAATAAATAGTTTATATTACAGCTTCGTTAATCAGGCATAGGCATACATGCTGTATCTTCTCCTTTATCCTATTTTTTATTTTGTTTCGGTACAATTCAAGCAACAATAATATCTGAATATTAACAATATTACAAAGCAAATCGACCCCACCGCATATATGAAGTATCTATATTTCAAAAATCTTGACGTTATCGTATCCAACATTTCTTGACACTTTCGATACTCCGACATTCTTCAACACTCCAACACGCATTGCAGAGACTCAAAAAATAATTCAAAGATTGTGTTGTATTGCGTTTTTAGTTCTAACTATTAAATTTGTTGTTTACGATTACCATTTTATTGAGTTCAATATAAATATTTAATATATCTTATTTTTTTTGCAAAATTGATTGGTATTAGAAATTTAACTTATTTTTTTACCAAAACGTTAAGCTTATTCTACATAAATTAAAAATATTATTTAATACCAAAACGTATCCTAACGTGTCAAAATTTAATATTTTTTAAAATCAACGCATCAGAATATCGTATTGTATCCTGTGTCCGTGCAACATAGATGACGGCAGATATGAAATGAAAATAAATTCAACAATAACGAAAAGATCCACATAAACAATAATACTTTATTCCTATTAAGTAACGTAATAACCAAGGTTTGTTCGCCATTCGAGACTTTTGATCCTTCACGGACGATTATGCATTATTTACAATGGAATATTATTTGTCTCATATAATTTTTCTTTCCTTTCCCACCAAACCAAGCCTCCAAGCATATGAAGGGCCTATATTTATCACAACGACAAGGGCAAGAAACTCCAAGTATTATAGGGAGCAACAACGTGAGATAGTCTCTTACAAGCGGCATGTCAATTTATGTACACATCTCAAAGGAAATTTGTATACAAGGCACTCACGACTTACATGGCTATTAGTTTACATGACACGTACACTTACTGGGTCATAATTGCAAGGATTGTACTGAGTTTTAAGAAGCGCAGAAAAGAGAAGGAAAAAAAAAAATGTTCGTGTCAATGGATCAATGAAAACCAACAATGGAGAATATGCCCGAGTTATACTTGACCAAGCAGCTACCATCTGAAAAACAAATAAAAGTACAAATGATCACAGTGACTAATATCTGCTATTAAAAAAGCGTACATATAACTCCAAATTATATGTGAGAAAGAGAAAGAATCCGTAGAATGCACTGACATTTACCATTTGTGAAGCAGCATTTGAATAATAGGAAATATTACTGAATTCAGACGATAACAAAACACAAATAATAATCACAATTACCATTTCAATTGCTGGAGCTACCAAGATCAAAGTCCATGGTGTAATCATACTCGATTGTCGGAATTACAGAGGCCATGAATTTCAAGAATAAGAATAGATACCTACAGAAATAAGTATCAGTGATTATGTCACGTCACATATATTGCAGTTATTAGGAACAAGTATTATGCGTTACACTCATGAACTAGACCTTTATCCTTGAGGGGATGTTTAAAATTTAAGAAGATAGCAGCAACTACGTATACAAAATCACTTTTCAACATCAAGTGCGCTATATAAACTCATGCTTGCAAAATTATTAAGCATTCCACTACAACGAAAATAGCGTCATTATATCAAGCCTTCCTAAGTGGGATTAAATTCAGAAGCACCATACCAAGTTTGGGTTGAATACTTAACTGAATACTCATGAATTTCAGCAAAATGCACGTTATCGGGCGTACGAAGTCAAGCGGATTGGGTGATCTCTCCATTAAAAATTAAAGGACAACACCCACATGTCATCAAAATATAATGCAAGCTATCATATGATTGATAGCATTATCAATTCAGTACACTTGTTTTGGAATTCAATATGACACCCCAAGCAGAGAGTTGTACTAGATTTCAGACAACTCGGCAATTGTTATTACTTAGAGACATGAACGAAAGATCAAATGTCCAAATAATATAAGGAAACAAAAGATAAATGATTAATCAGGAAAAAAACATAGACATGCTTGACAATAAGCTCCAAAACATCAGGTTTAATCTTTTGTCATTTGTCAGATCTTACCTAGCTCATTAATAGAAGATATAATTAGGGAAGCTAATTGGTAAATAATATTTGTATGGATCGTGTCACAGCATGTGTTACCAGTAGTCACATCTAATAAGAGAAAATGCTAATTTATATCGTATGGATTAGTTGTATCTCCAAATGATAGTAAGGACAGAAAGGGTTTACTTGTCAACTTCAGGCTCAACTCCACATGACATTGACACATCAATGATTTTTTTCATCACTGCTCCATGTTTACATGGATGAATAGATGCATGCTTCCCAGGCAAGTGAGGGTGGTCCTCAATCGTTACCTGCGATATTTCTAGTTAGAAAAACAACATACTGACATAAATTTTAGCAATTCATATGCCATATCTCACCGTTTTGCGTGCATGGTCTTGACTAACATCTTCAAGGACAAGTTCAGGTTGCAAAAGCATTCTTGACTGCCACAAGATGAAAGATGGAATCACCAAACCAGAACACTAAGTGTCCAAGGTATAAAATTGGAAATAATGAAGGGTTTAGATGTTTCTCGCAAAGATTTAACCTAAATAATAAAAGCATCAAGTCATCAAATGAAAATACATTAGAACAATTTCCAAGTTTGGCATTAAGGTCAAAAACAGCTCCATTTCAGCCCTGCCCGTGCTTCATAGATGACAGGGGAACTATGCAAATGATTCCATCTTTATTCATCAAAATAGGAATAATACATTCATTATCGTTCATCCGCATGTTAAGGATCAGGTCTTTTTCTTTCTTTTTTTCTTTTTTGGCTGGATACATCAGGTTATATTCACTAGATTAAATCACTAATGCTATTTCTAGTAGCTATCATTGCCCAATAGACCGGCCAAAAGTAACTGAATATATAGTTACAACCTACAAGGATCAAGTGAATAAAACAAACCTCATCATACCCAGTAAGCCATACTCGAGGTGTTTGATAATATTTATCATACCTGCAAAATGAATAAAATCCACCTTTTAAAATCATTGCCAGAAAACTATTTGTTTCCAATATGAAGCAGATATATTTTATTTTATTTTTTTGGGATGGGGGATAGAAAAACAAGTTATGGCACAGAAAAGAGGGCAAGTAGAATATGAGAGGACAAAATATCCTCCAAAAAAGAAAATTCTAACACTTCTGTGGTTCCTGTCCTCATAGTCATAAACCATCCAAAAAAAAAACCTGTTTGGTAATGTATATCCCATTTGTAATTATTAAAAACCATAAATTAGATTCAGTTTAAAGATAACTATTTTCATCCTCAAATAACTGTTCATAACTGGTAACAATTTTGAAATCGTCTCGTTTTCTAAATAAAGCAACAGAACCAAACAAGAGACACAACAACGAATTTGAAGAAAAAAACTCAAGAATGCAGCAAGGCAACGCAATCTTTCATCGTATCATAAATAGCAATTTCGTTGAAGTAGCCACGATCAGAGCATCAAACAGAGGCCATAAACATAATCCTATTTTATAACAAGTTTAGGGGAAAAGAGACACCACCCTAAAAGAAGCAAGAACTCTAGTCCAACCATTTGCACTATAGATATTAAAATCATAAAGCATTTGTTACCTAGAGGGAGAGATTTAATAAACCCAGTTGAAGGCTCAAAGTAGATAGTAGCAGGCATCAAATGACAATCAAGAACATTTATATTGAAACTCATCTTACGTGACGCTGACGTCATAAGTTCGGGTTCGAAGAATATTATCATCATCAGGTTCATGAGCCACTAAATATGTTGACTGAAGAGTGGCCTCCATTTAGCATAAGAACAAGTAAATGACACAAATCACATTACTTACATCAGTATCAAAAAAGAAGGAATCAACAAAAGTACATTGTTAAAAATAAATAAATAAAACTAACAGGGAAATTATATGAAATATTATTACAAATTATGTAAATAATAGAAACTACGTAAGTTAAAATGAAAATTCAATTAGGGCTCACATTCAGGTGTGTCATGGCCTACCTAGTCATGCATTTCAAGTGAAACAATCATATAACCCAAATGAACTCCTCAGCCATCATATTTTTTAAGTGCGAATGAAGAATTGAGAAACTACGCCGCATTAGCATGTGGTTCTGGGGTCATTCTAGGGTTCATTGTAAATGCTCAAAGAGGTTGTAATGACGCACCTATATCTCGCAGTTCATGTTCACAGAACCGGTTATGGGTATTTGACAGTTAATGGCAACTGAATTTGAATAAAGCATTTCAGACATTTGACAAGATAAATATATAGCCTTCTAAAAGGACAAGGTAAGGGAAAAGCATGGCAATCATAATAAACAAAAGAAAAAGATAGATATTTAGGTTTCCACTTGATCATATGCATGAATGAAGATTATTCTGAAAAATTGTTAACCCCTAAAATCTCAAATGTATCCTCAAATGACACTACTATGAAGCAGCATACATGCTACCAGGATCTCTCTTCCCAAATTCTTTTTCTACATACATATTTTTCACCGGCGCTTGCTTTTTAAATAAAAATATTGCTAGGAAAGATCAGCATAATAAGACTCTTACTAAATACATATCGTGACAATACATCAGCACATAGCGGACTGTATATGTCTATTCTCCTTCATTTGATTTAATAAATCTTTAACCTTTTAGTCTGAAATTGATGTAGGAAAGTAAGAAAACTGCAATCATGCTTCCAAAAACGTGGTATTAACTTACAGGATCTGTTATAATGTTGTCAGTTTCTTCAAACTCTGCCATATCTGGAATATCTTCTTCCTCCTCACCTCCCATGTAGGTAGGAATTTGCTTAATAGAATTCTTTTTGCTGATTTCTAGGCTTTCCATGGAAGGAAAATCCTCATCCTCATCCGATTTGGTTTCTAAAATAAATAAATAAATGCAAAGGTGTAAGATCAAAAGATCAAAGCCAAAGCACAAAATACATGCCTCCAGTCCAATAGCAATATATACCTTTAGGTTTCCCATGAGTTGCTAGCCACCCATCATTATCTTCATCGTCAAGTAAAACTTCCCCTCCGGCAGCTTCGTATTCTTCTTCAACAGATGTAGCTCTCCGTAGACAAGGTACTGTTAACAGGACAGTATTTAAGATAGGCTTACAAATGTATGATAATTAAGGGGAAATACAATCATCACTACTGCTAACTTTCAGGAGAGGAAAAAATAACAGAAACAAAGAACACACATAATGTAAAAGGCATTCTCAGATCTTAACTCTTACCATTTCTAGTAATTAAGAATTGTTTATCAGGTGGTAAATATGGCTTCCTCTTGCTTGGCTCACCCGATTCCCTATAATTCAACAACTAGTAAGAGCTTTTGCAATTGTCATAACTCACATGCTTGAGCAATTTCTATATTTGTTAATAGGTAATGAACAACATACACATGACGTCCTCCAAAGGGTCCCTCTCATATGTTTCAACAAAAATCATTCAATATGTACAAGGAAAAAAACTCTGATGATCGAAATCCCTTCTGAAAGGTACAATTTTTTTCGGCTAAAAGAAGCAATTTCAATTTAAATATCCAATAATACCCATTAGAGAAATGATCATGTAACAGACCCCAAATTAGGAAAAGGAGAAAACTTGAAAACTATGAAGGTAAAAAAAGTTACCAGGACCAGGTGGGGCATTTGGCAACAAGATTATCGCCGGCGATAACGAACTCGGAGACACTGAGAACTCCTTTTTCTTTGAAGGCGGAAACGGTTCGGGGGCCTGTGATCCTCTCCACAGTGCCTTTGAAAGCTTCGTGAAGCTTCTGAGACAAAACCATTGTCTTCTTCCTCCCTCCGAGAATTTTGGGAAATTCTGAAAGAGAATGACGGAGGAGGAACGAAAGAAAGGTTTGGAGTTAGGAGTTGTTGCTCTCGCTGTTTATATTTCCTTCAAGTGCACGTTCCCCTTTGTCAACCCCACACACATCAAACGCAAGGGACAAAGGGAATCATGGACATCCTATCGATTCTCCTTTTGAGTATTCTCGTTCACATCTCAATTAATTAGAGTTTAGTTAAATATCTTACTTAAAACCTAATAAAGATATTTATAAGGATGCTTTTATAATAATAATAAAAAGATATAAGTAAAAAATTTAAAATATGTGCATAGTAACATTTTTCTATTTTACATTAAAATGCAATTATTATTGTTATCTAGTACTTTGGAAAAAATGATTCCGAAGTGAAAAAATAAAAAAATTGACTGTCTTGTAATTTTTTTGTTCTTAAAACTATTTTGTAAAATAGTTATGAAAACATTTGTTTTCTTTGTTTTTTTTGTTTCGAAAGTTAAAATTCAAAACACAAAACAAAAACAACTCAGACATGCTTTCTAAATTTGATTCTAAAAAAAGGGTTACAATTTTTAAAACTTTTTTTACAAGGCCTTATCAAACGGATTTTTTTGTTTTTTTTTTCTGAAAACAAAAAAAATATTTTTAGAAATAGTATTCAAACAGTAAGTTTTTCGTTCATGTTTTGAACTTATATGTATGCTTTATGAATTATTTGGTTATTGAAACAATAATATTAGTTGTCTCACTAGTGGTAAAATCAAAATTGTCAGAGCAACATTAGTTATTATTGAATGCTAAGTTGGCATGCTGCCCTTACTCTCTCTTTTTTAAATTTATTTTCTTCTCGATGAACACAATGCTGTTCTTGATTCAAAAGATGATTGAAGGCCGTAAAGCAATATAATTTATTGTCGTGAGTATAAAAACGCACAAACACCTCTTCCCATTAGAAAAGGCCAATCATAATAATTAGTAAGTTAAACAAAACTTCACATTGTAAGTTCAATGTGTCAACCAAGATTTGTATTTGTTTATCACTAATGACCCTTTACTAGTAGACATCATCGAAGGTAAACAAAGAAATACATGAAATCAAATAATTATCTCAAATAAAAAAAAATAAAAAATACGGATTGATACGCATGATAATAATTTAAATTAAAAAAAAAAAAATGCAAGATTCAGGTTTGTCGGTCCTATGAAGATAGAAAACGGTTGAGTTAATGAGGTTACAGTTACAACCTATAAGAGAACAGGAACCGTTTCCACAAACACAAAAGCCACTCTTTGAAGTGTGAAGAGAGAAAAGTAACCGAAACCCTTCAAAACAAAAACCATTTGTGTTGATCAGAAAAGAAAATGACAAAGAGATACACAATCTTGCAGGCAAAACTCCAAGAACTAGAATCTATACTCAATGAGGCGTTGCTGCGTGGCCAAGATACTAAATCCCACGACTCTCTTTCTAAGGATATCGAACAGAAATTTGTTTTCATTGGGAACCTGTTATCTGCTGAAGTTGCGTCTCATCCATCAAAGCCCCATCATTTGCAACACATTTCACAGAGGTTAGCAGCATTGGATAAGGCTTTTCATGAATGGGACGTTTTCAGAACATTCTCCTTTGAAGATTATGACAAGGACTCTACTTGCTCTTGCACTGAGTCTTGTTTGAATGACGATGGAGAGACTCTTGATGATACTGAGATGATTGTTTTTGAAGACCCAGAAAAGCTTTTTCCGGATTTTATTGGTGAGAAGGCTATGGTAGAATTTAATGGTTATGTTGAGGATGAGAAAAAGACAGGGAACATCAACTCGGGATTTGATAATTTGGCATCTTTTGTTTATGAAGATGCAGAGGACTTTTTTGAAGACTTTGCCGGAGACAAGGAACTTGTGAAATTTGATGGTGGTTTACTTCAAAAAACTGAGAAGGAAGGGAAGGATAATGAATTGGAAAGAAGAAGAGACAGTGCATTTGGGAAGAAATGTTGTGCACTGGCTGGTGGGGTTGTCCTTGGCATGATTTTTATGGGCTTCATTATGGTGAATTTTTCTGGTTGCTTTCACTATGTTGAACGAACAAGTTTTACCATTCCAACCTAGAAGTAGGAAGCCTATTAAATGGTAAAATTTTCATTTCCATATCCATAGTACACTTACATTTTTTTTTTAGATTTTCTACTAGACTACTACACATAGTTGATGTAATTTTGTAATTTGGATTTAGATCAGTTCAGTCTGTATGTTATGTATATACAAAACTAACCGTGACTTGAATGGATGGACTTTTTCTATTTCCCAAAAATACTTACTATCTGAACATGGCTTTATCCAACAGTTGTCTGTATTGCTAAGAACATCGTTAAGATTTAGTTTTAAGAGTTTATAAATAATTTAGATTATTTAAAATGATTACTTTACCATGATAGATACATCTCATATGTACTTTTCCTTATATTATTCAAGGGGAATATGTTTTCATATATACTTTTTCTGTGACATAAGAAACATATTACCCATTATTCAATTAAATTTTAACCTTATTATATCTTTATTCTAATTTAGAACTCGTATTTTTCTGTTGAATTTTTATTTTGTTATATTTTAACTAAATTTTATCTCATAATTTTAGAATTCAACATATTTATGAATTACTATCTTATACTCACTTTCTAGCTATATTATATAAAATAAATCTCTCTAACTTTTTTGTATGTACACGAGATAAAAAGAAATGTATTCTCATTTTATGAATAGTGCAAATTACACACGAGAATTCCCTACTTTTATTTTGAACCTGTCCTGCAGATGTTATTGAATCTGATGAAACCAGCAACCTTTTTTCACTAATGAACAAAATTGCTGATCAAATACAATAGATAAGAAATAAATAACGTAAAACACAGTTTTCAAAAGCACAATCGAGATGAATTGCAGAAACTCATTAAGCAGAAGCAGTAACCAAGGCCTTGGATAAACGGAATCTGGAATCTAATATATGATGAAATTAATGTTAGTACATGTATGGTGAAGTTCACAAAAAATTACAAAAAAAGGATGCTTTACTAAGAATGTATTAACAAAGAAATTGTCAATCATCCAGATTATACAGGAACTGGAAAACCCTTCTTGGCCATGCTATCCAAAACATCGTTGAGAGCTTGACACAGGCCCACAATCTGCAATGACACATCATCATAATTAAAAGGTTGAGGAGACTGAGGAGGGTTTCTACTAAACCAGCAAAACATACATGAACAGAAGTTAGACTGATCTCGCGGCATATGTAGTGGTGCGAGATGCACACAAACAAGGGTTCAGCTCATAGGTAGATTTAGGCACATAATGTAACATACCTAGTATAACTAAAAAAAATTCTAATTCGTGTTTTCTTAAGGCCCATATGAATTGATTATATCCGAAACCTAGAGTCAAAATCAATCTATTCATTTCTAAAAGATTCATTAATCAAAAAAACAGTAAATTGAAAAGAATTAGAACAATTTACAGAGCTCAATTTATCAAAGTTTTAGCTATTTATATTTTACCAAAAAAATCCAAATATATGCTATATAATATATCAATGAAAATATAACTAATATTCAAATCACACAAACTTTATGTAGCTGCAACAAACGTGGGTGTCTGATACCCTGATTATCAATTTAATCCACCTATGGCTGCTGCATCCAGAGTTATCAGATTAAAAAAAATTACCTGCTGGTCCCATCGTTGCAACTCTTCAGTGTCATCGTCAAAATGTATGACAGCTTCAACCTGCAATAAATCATTCAAAAATTGACCATAACTTTTAAAAGAGGTTAATAGGTCTGAGCATGTTTATGACCCTTCTATCTCTCTCTCAACAATGTTTTCTTTGTTCTCAGAGCAGCCAATAACCCTTCCCCTACATCATCCGCCAAACCTCTTTCTTAGTTCCCATTCAGCAGTCCAACGAGAAGATTCCTTCAATTATTATGTCTATTTCTTTGTAGAGTAATTTTATAAACTAAGAGGTCGTAATGGTTATTTATACCTGATCAATAGATCCCTTCATCCTATCCTCATAAATCATTCTTGATGCTATCTTCTCGGCCTGAAAGCAAAATAATTAGAAGAAAAAAAATCAACACAAGCTTGCATGGACTAAAATATATGGAATCTTAACATTTTATGAACATCGAAATGAAAAAAACACTTCCAGGAGCAATTTCCACGTCAGTAACCGTCTTGTTCAGTAACTTACATATGAGCTATTATCACCATGCCACACCTTTTGGTTGTTGAACATTTTTTCATTATTTAAATCCGATGATTAAATTAAGGGAAAAATGTTTCTGCAGTTAATGCAGATAATTTATCTGCATTTATTCCTAAAACGACGTCGTTTTGGTATTGAAATCTTAAAAAATTATAAATATAAAGACTATTATAACCCTGAAATAAATTAAAATTACAAAAACACCATGATTTCCGCCTCAAAACGACGTCGTATTGGGCTTACTGCAGATAACTTATCTGCAGTAACTGCAGAAAAAGTGAACCCTTAAATTAAAATAAGTCTTTACCACAAAAAAGGAACATATGCCAGAAACATGAAATGGTAAATTCAATAGAGAATTATGCATCTTTCTATAAGAGGCTCTGCTATTCATTGATCTTTACTGAAAAATAAGTATAACGGTAGACAAAATTCTATACCTTGTGAGGTGGGATCCCCAACAGCGTGCCTAACTCATCAAAACTACAAGAGAGGCATACAGGCACCTTAAAAGGCATATAACCTGATAGAATAAATAATCTAGCCATAAGGAAGCAATAGACAGATAGTATAATTTCTCAAACCTGATATTAGTATAAAGTTTGCTTGCACTCAGAAGATTATGCTCAATCATGGCACGGTCCAGCACAGTGAAATTATCTGGAAGAGCAGCTTTCTGTGGGAAAAGTAAAAGCTGAGACATATCCACTACGCCTTCCAAAAATATGAAGATAGAATACAAACTTATATAACCTGATGTGGTTTCAATTCTTCAGCAAATGCATCAATTTCTGGCTTTCTAAGAATTCTCTCCAAGTACACCTGATATAGAAGCGATTCCCGTTATATGATCAGTGTGGAAAGACATAAGAGAGAAAAGAAGCAAGAGAGAGAGAAATACCTTCTGCAGT